CCCAAGCATCCGTACCGCCGTACTTGCGTGAATACCGTGCAGCAGGAGTGCCGTCATTGTACGGCACATGCTATGCAACATACTCACCGTCAGGCGTAGCCGCTGCAGCCACCAGCATTCTTGGCATGCTCCCAGCGGACAGCCGCTCCACCATCACCGGTTGACCATCCGCTCCATAGCTAGCTGCATGTCCGTCACAGCAGTAATGGTTCTCATGAAGAGCACAGTTAGCTGCTGCTGCGGCATCGTCGTACCCGCCATGCGACATCCTGCGAGTAGCCCATGCGTCCTCAGCAGTGGCAGTAGCCAAGGACACATGTTCCTGCTGTTGTTTCACTTCCGCTGCCTTTGGCGCGTTCATTGCCAGCTCAGCGGCGTGTCCCTGCTGCTGCTGCTGTGCAGTTTGCTGACTAGCACCAGCAGCAGCACCAGCAGCAGCAGCAGCACCAGCAGCAGCACCAGCACCAGCAGCAGCACCAGCAGCAGCAGCAGCACCAGCACCAGCACCAGCACCAGCAGCAGCACCAGCAGCAGCAGCAGCAGCAGCACCAGCACCAGCACCAGCACCAGCACCAGCACCAGCAGCAGCACCAGCAGCAGCACCAGCACCAGCACCAGCACCAGCAGGACCAGCAGCAGCACCAGCAGCAGCACCAGCAGGAGCACCAGCAGGAGCACCAGCGGTGGACTTCATCGTGCGGTTGGCGGTGAGCTCCACCGTTGCAAACCTCACGCGCTCCGGTTGCCGAGCTGCCGCTGCTGCCATGGTCGTCGGAGCCGGCTGGACGCCGCTCACAGTGCAGATCGAAGCGCGACGACGGGTGCTGGCGGGTGAGAGCGCTGCGAGCGTAACGGTGTGGGACAAGGGTTAGGAGGGAGTGAAGGCGGGCAGGTGCACGGGAGCCAAGGAGGTATGCGGGTATGGCTACAAGAATAGGGTGCGTGCTTCTGGCGGTACCGTATCTGTGGCTTTAGGCTACTGTGTTGGATGTGCAACTGCTCCCACGGCCCCATGCCGCATGCAAACAACCTTCCCTTATTACTTGTACGCCATACGAGACGACATGCATGCTACCCATCGGCCCCAATATTGTACGTGCCTGGCAGCGATCCTCCTCCTCCTGCGTCCTGCTGCTTGCGTTGATTGCCGCCTCCTCCCCCAGCTCGAGACCACAGCGGCACCCACTGTGGTCGCTCCTGCTGCGGCGGCGGCTTTCGCCTGAAGGTTGGCTTGCCGCCGTCGTCGTTGCTGCAGACCGACGAGCGCCTTGCCCTATCGCTGCTGACAGCAGGAGCAGCAGCCGATGTGGAATAAGGGGTCAACAGCACAGCGCCGCTGCCCCCACCGCCGCTAGCATGGTTGCCCGCGCTGCTGCTGGCGACTTCCGTCTCTGGAATAACGGTCAGCGCAAAGGGCGACTGCGCCTGGGGTACGCGGGCTGCAAACACCAAATACCACATCAGCGCTTGTTAGACCAGCAGTACGGCTAATAAGCAATGTATGTACGTTCAGAAGGCAGGATATGTACAGCAGGGACGCGCCAGCCCTTGCTTGCCAGCAGCCTCTCATCACTTACATCGGATGAAAAGCCCTGACGGCTTCGAACCATGTACGGCAGGTGCAGTCGCGCGGGGCGGTGGCAAGGGCCCAGCAGCTGGTTCCGGGGCCGATTCATCCACTGCCACCGGGGGCCCTTCCTCCGGCCCTGCAGGAAGCCAAGAAGCTTAGGGTGAGGATCTTTATCATTGACGTGGTCAAACAAGCATGTACGAGTCATCAGTCCTGCATGTGGTCCTCCTAACTATTCGGCATGCATGTGCCGCAACCTGCTTTCCGGCATTCCAATGCATAAGCCCCCCATCCGCGTGTAAAGGAGGTCTGCCCACTTGTACCTGCTTGGCTGCTGTCATCACAGGTAGCGACGGTGTCCGCAATGGCGGGAGCAACAGAAGGTGCGTCAGCATCGTCAAGGGACACCCTTGCAGCATCTTCTGACGAACCGCTGATGGCTCCAGCAGCAGCAAGGAGGCCCTCCTCCACGGGCGGGTCAGCAGCAGCAGCATTACTCGTGGCGGGGTTCACCACAGAGGGGCTACCAGCAGTAGCCAGCAGCGACAACCTATGGGCTACAGCAGCAGCACCCAACGGCTCGACTGTTGTCGTAACCTGCTGCGGCATGCGTCGTCCTGGGACGTAGGCTGGGGTGAAGATGCCGCCGTCATCCGAGCCTCCTGCAGGGGCGCGGATTGGGTTAAGGAGGAGGGAACATGCCATTGATTGCTGTTAAGTACGATGCGGCGCTCTTCTAACAAGTGAGAACACTTACCGTTACTAGTCCAAGGGCTACAGTTTCCTGCCTGCAAATCATGGCACGGTACATGCATGCATACGTGCTCGCTTGCTTGCATTTGCATGCATTGCGTCCTTACCATTGGTTGCAGCCGCTACCGACTCCGCCGTCGTTACCATCGACGACAGCAGCGACTGCAGAAGCGCCCGGCTGCCACCCACTCGCGGCGTCAGCGTCGACGCCTGCTGCTGCTGCAGCTGCTGCAGCTGCTGGCTTGCGAATCGGCTGCGCGCCGAGCCCCTTATCGAACTACTACCGTAACAACTGTGACCGTCACGGAGCAGCGATGACGAGGACTGAACCAGCATCATCATTGCTTGCGGCGGCGCTGGTGGTAGGGTAGCAGCTGGGAGCCTGCTGACTGCAGCGGGGGCTCCTGCTGCAGTGGTCGCTCCCGCCGCGGCTTGCGCCAACCGACCCAGTCGTGAAGGCAGGCGGTCAGGTGGGGCGAGGGGCTGCTGCAGCCCACTGCCGCAACCACCGTAACCAACGCCACTGTTGCAGCCATTGGCATGGTGTTGGTAGCCGTAAGTGGCGTAGAAACCGGCGGTGGGGGCACCTCCTCCGTCTGATGAGAACCGAGGCATCCTGGCATGAAGGGCATCTTGCAGTGCTACCTGGGGACGGGTAGTGACGCAACGAACCAAACAGACGATGTGAATGCGGCATGTGTGGTAAAAGGTGAAGCCACATAGCGGGCTGGTGACCTTCTTAACATGTTACCCTAAATTAAGTACACAACACTTCCAAATACCGGTGAAGTCGGTGTCTCATGCATGCTTGCATCAGCCCCCTACCCTGTCTACCGTATGTATCCCCGTCCCTTACCTTGTCGGACTCCACTTGTCCCCTCAGCGCCAGGTAGCGATGCTGCTCCTGCGCCACGTGACGAGCGACCTCAGGCCCTGCAGCGGTTGGAGAACACGTAAGCGCACGTGCAAGCATGATTAATTTCCATACACGGTAGGCAACTCATTTCCTCTCGACGCATGCACACATGTGCGCTTTGTAAAGCCAGCAGCAGCCCCTCTACCCTTCGTACCCAATGTAGCGGAGATGGCGACGTCAAAGGATTCCAGACGTGGCGCCGAAACCACCTTCACCTTGCCGGCCATCATCAACACTGCGCACCGCACCACCAGCAGTACTCGCCGCCTTGCGGCGTGCACGTGGCGCCGCCACTCGGGCGCCTCCTGATGCTGCGGCCCTGCATTTGCATAGGCAGAAAGGGGGAGCGAGATAGTGCGTTTGCGGGAATAGGATGTTTCCATTGTCGTGCGTGTTCGAGAGCTGGAGCAAGTGGAGACCATGATGAACCAGGCATGCATGTAGTTGGCTGAGTAATAAGCAGGTTGAGCAGTGCGTACGTTTCCTTACGGCGAGGAGCTCTGCTGCTGGGAGGGTAATGTTCGTCCCGTGCGACCTGCAGCAGCAGCAGCAAGGGAGGGGGCCGTTGGGTTAGTTCACGCAGCATGTTATGTTTTAGAGTTCAGGGAGGACTAGCGAGGCGCAGACAGCAGGAGCCCTCAAAGGAGCTGCTGGCTTGGTTGCGGGCGCACGAATGTGTTCCGGTCGTTCCGGTCAAGCTAATCGTGATTGTGTTATGGATTGGCGGCCGTGTGTGATCCATGGATGCGGTGTGGGAAGGCCAAAGTGGTGATACCTCTGGTATTTAGAAAAGGCCTAGAGCATAGCACACGCAGGAGGGATGGCTCGTCGAGAAACCTAAAAAGACATTTGCTCACCGCCTGGCTGCTAGGTCGTCAGCCGTGTGCTGCAGTAACTTCTCCGGTTCAGATCCAGGCTTGCCAAGGGTTGCCTGCACGCGCTCGTATTTGCTTAGCACAAGAAGCGGTTGCCTAAGAAATGTCGCCCAGTGCCAGCGGGGACTAACCTCCACCAGCCTCAATTTCTCGGAGGAGGTCGCTGCAAGCGGTACAGGAAGACGACCTAGACCTACATAGGCATAATAATATTGCGCAATTTGTAAATCTCAGCGTCGGTTTGCTTCGCAGCTTTTCGGCTGACATGACTCGCTCAGTCGGCGGACGACATGTCGCTCGCTCGACTCTGACGCTTACCGCCTAGAAGGTCGAGGTCCTTCGCAGAACTGCTTCTCCACTCTTGCGTCAAGTACGCGTCCCAGTCGACTTCTGTTTGTAACAAGACCGACGGTGCGTTGCCCATGGTGTTTCAATGGAATTGCAACTTGAGGTTGGACATGTCGACGAGTAGTAGGTGTTTTTACTACAACGTGATAGCGATGTCAATTTTGATAAAAGCTCTTCGTGCAATGGGCCGCTGATTTTGGTCATTGTGCGCCTGTCGCGTCAACCGCTGCTGACGTACAGTGCAACCGCCACCGTTGCTGACATCCGTACACAACTCCCTAATGATTACGGCATACTCACACCCGTAAGCGGCAAGTACTGAAGAAGTGTACTAGAACGGATACTAGAACGAAGCATGTACTGCATTCGGTAACGGCAATACGACTACCTGGCAGTTCATCTTGGCTGCTTCCTAAGCCCGCCGCCTTACTTCACTCGCTAACGGTGCTGATTTCGAAGGCATTCGTCCCTAGGAGCCATTAACCACCTTTCACTGCTGTGCAGCCATCACCTGAATCCTTAGACGGGCAGGCCCGTCCCTGCAATCAAAAGGTCCTTACAAACACCGTCACGACACGGTACAGGTCCCATTGCGCAACCGACGTGTTCGTACACTGTACAACTGTTAACCGCGTCCTGCTGGACATGCCCCCAGAAAAAGGACGGCATGTTCGCCCAAACACAACAGCAAACGCATACAACACCTCCAGTGACTTTTCAACCTTCTTTAACTTTCCTTGGCGATAGGAAAACGTGGCTTAGGTTACACATCAGATCCGCAAAGGCGCAATACATGACCGTACTGTACTGTACGCCGTGCCGCATAAAGGAAGATAAGAGAACAACAGCAACTTAAACTAACACATTCCGTACTTCAGACAGAAAGAGACATTAAGACAGGAGGTAAAGAGGAATGCATTAGACAGCATTCAAGATCCATACACAGGTCCTATACACAAGCATACGTCCCAAGGTCCCTTACACATTCCGCTTCAGCATCTTATGCACAACATGTACGGATGCATGTTACCCCCGGTGCTGACTTCTGGCCCGTCAACCTCAGCACTGGCGCCTTTCAGCGGCAAATAAACAGGCTAACCATTGCATTGCTGACAACCGTTGCTCTGCTTCTTCTGAACTACTAAACTACTACACTGCCTAGGATAGGCATGCGTTACCGCTGCCTCATACCCGTACATGGCTCTCCCTGCAGGTGCTAGCAAACCTGCTGTAGCGCCCACACTAGGGATGGATTGACGTTGCACGACCTACGCAACACGCAACATACACACATGGTTCAGGCTCGCGACCAGTTTCCTTAACACATATAATTCAGGACTTCATATCTACAAACAATAATATCAAACAGCGCAGTTTCTTCGCCTTAATGGACCAGACCATGGCCGTGTCCGTGCGTGACACGCCATCGTCAACCGTGCCACGTCACCCCACATGCCGGCAGCCCTTGTGTCGTATCCAGTGGCTACCAAGGTACGACAGGACGCAGAGTCCACACTGGTGGTGAGAAACGTCATGCCTTCATTCCCCAATATCCCCTTGCTTCCTCATGCTCGTTAGTCATTACCCCTTCCTAAACCCAACACATACGACTGCGTTCTGGGCATGGACACCTAGATGGCCTAAGGCCGCCATATCCTGGCTAGCACCTTGCCATATTTCGCCACGCTCATATTTAGCACTGCAAACCTGCTGCGGCTGCTGTCGTTGCCGATGCTGTCGTTGCCGTTGCTGCTGACACCAGCAGATACCTTGTTACTACTGGTTGCCTCCGAAACCCCGGTGTCCGCTTGGCTTGTAGCGGAGGCCTTGGTTTGAACACCTGCAAGGTTAATAACAGAATATAACAAGGCCACGAATACCTCGTGCTTTTTTCTGCTCAGTGGCCGCGTGCCGTGCTTACGTTGCACGCTGACCCATGGTTCATAGTTGGCTAACATGTATAATTATTAGGTAATTACCCCTCGATATGTTGCGGTGTTTTGAGAAAGCTAGCTGTTAGCTGCTGGCCCTGGCTCTCCTTTTTACCCCTGTCACCTTACCGTCTTTAACGTAAATTCCGCCGCAGGGACTGTACGATGTTGACTCCTTCACGAGAAGTGATCCATCGGCAGCTGCTGCTGTTTTGAGCCAGCCGTTGGTGTTAAAACCCATACATCCTGCGATCTTGGTGCAAGCCGCTGCCATCTCAAGCAGGTCGCCTGTTTCGGGGCTGTCGTACAAATCTGTAGGCGCATCCCTTCCCTCTAACAGTGTGAATCCAGGGATCTCGTCGCATCGCATGTACCGTTTGAAGAGGTAGTCCACGTAATCACCTGTATAGCCGTTTGCGCCGCATGAAAGCAACCGATTCAACCGTTGGTGCGTGTTGGTTGTGATGGGTTGCGGAAGGTAATCATTACTTCGCACTCTCAAGCAGGATGCTGTGAGCACCTTCACACCGGTATCGAGCATGCCAATATGGTAGTGGTTTTGCGTAGCCTTAGGAGTCGCTGTAATGTACGGTCATCCAAACATGCGTTTCAGAGGACAGTCGCACTGCATGGCCCTAACAGACAATGTTCCAGCAGGCTTAGCTAGCATACCGACCGACTTGCTGCAGTCCGTGCCCTTTTACGATGCGCCCCAAGTTTTCAGGCATGCATGGCAATCCCCCCTATGACACGTACATGCATGCGGATCAGTGGATCACCGCTTATCGTTCACAAGACCCAAGGTCCTCTCACCATCTGGCGTTACTTTTGCCGTCCTCTCCGGGGCTATGGGCATTTCTGCTGGTGCGGCCGACACAGGAGGAAGGAGGCCTGCAAATTTGCATCGAATGCAAGTGTTGACCGCCTATACCGCTGTTGCCGCATTTCAAATAGCCGTGTTGCTGTATCTATCTACCTACTACGTACATCATACGTACCCATAGTCCTTGCGGCTGTTGTGGAGCGTACGGCGAGGCTGGGTAGGAGCAGCAGTAGCATGGACACTGGGACTAAGGATGACGTAAATACTCCTTTGGGCCCGCGTGGGAAGCGCTTTCCCAATCCCGAGGTGTTGTTGGCTCCAGTTACCATGTCGCTGCTGCAGTAGGAGTGACGGAGGGGACATTGCGGGAAAAAAGGACAGGCAATGAGGTTGGAAGGGTTGGGCCAGGCTAGACTAAGCGAACAGGGACGGCTTGCATCGCAAGTCTGAGGTAGCGGGCTGTTTGTCCGTCAATAAATAAGGCAGGAACAGGCCCAAAGTGCCCAAAGCAGTTATCGCTAACAAAAACTGACAGAAGGCGCCCACTGTATGAAATGTGACAAAACATGATTATCCTAACATATCATTGTGAAGGTCCATTTCTTTGGCCGGACCAAGCCAGGTTAGGTGGGGTGGGTCCCGCATGCATCCGACCGGCCCGACTCACCACCAGACGCCAACGTTGAAACCGCTTTCGCCTTGTGTTATATATCACTGTCAAGGATAAGGTGCTTCGTAAGTGCCAAATGCCCCTGTCGCGACCACAGCAACGGGATGCGCTTGTCGACTGGGGCCCCGCTATACGTAGGCACGTTCAATGGAGTCGGAAGCGACGCCGTCCAAAAAGCGATACGTTTTGTACACAATACAGCAAGAAGATACAAAGAGCTGTAAAACCTCAAATACCTTGCAGTTCGTTGGGCCGCAAGCAACGGTGCACAACTGCTCTGCGACGTGAAGAGCTCAAGAAAGGCAACCTCGGGATGTAATTGTAAATTCTGCTAGACTGAGAACCAACAATTTGTGCTAGCAATGAAAGTTGTACGGGCAATTCATGACTACTTAACTGCGACTCACAACCTTATGGGCTCCATACAATCACGGCTGTCGTCCCTTCAAATATGGTGATCAATTGGTATTGCCAGGCTACGAACGGCAAGCACTGGGGACAGAGGTTCGTCAAGTAAAGGAGATTACGAACCATAAATTGCGGAAGTAAGGATGTATGCAACCTGTCACCGCACCGTATAACGGGATACATGGTCTTCAAAGACAAAGCGGTTGAAAGCACTGCAGGCATTAGCAGTATGACAGACATGGTTGTTGTCTCTGACATAAGCCCGTCGAGGCATACTCGTTCTGCTCTCTTTCTCCACGCACAGACACAACGTACGGGATTAGCTATACAGTGCATGTGACGCTAGGGGCGAAACATTGGCGGCTGCAAGCGGGCATGTTTCCTACACGCTTTATACAAGTGCTTAGCTGGTCTGTCAGAAACACCCCCCAGTTGGCCCTCGACACTTAATGGCTGGCACATCGAGTCTGGGCATTAATGGACGCATAGGGTACAGGGCCTAGATCCTAGGTGTCTTCAAGAATGCATAACTGATACTACCCCAGCTAACGCGTGCCGTCAGCTAGGGGTTATCTCCTGTGCTCTTTGATCTGCAACATGATATTAGTCGATGGGTGTTCCTGTCCGCAAACCCATATTTTGGGGTTTGGGACCAACGGGGCCAACTCCTTGCAAGGATTGCAAGCGCTGATTTCCAGACCGTCCCCAACTTCAGCAGACGACACGCCTCGAGATAAAGCAGCCGTGGGGTGCACCCTCTCAGGTGAAAAGCTACCGGGATCGGTAGGGAGGGCGCAATTCCTGTCAGAAGGATGGCCGGGTGGAGGGCTGGGAATGTCCCCGCCGACATCATGCGCCCCCGCGTAAGAGTGTAAAGACTTTGGTAAGGGATGTCGGAAACATAAGGAACTGGTGGCACGGAGCTGACTGGTTACGGGCGGATGCCGCAACCTAGGTCCGCAGTTTAATTCTTAGGTATAGGTACAGGCTTATTGCATTAATCTATGTGGTAATGGGAACCCAAGATAATGAATGGGCAACAAAGACTGGGCTGACGGAGGAGAAAACAAGATGGCCCTAGCTAGGTAGAGCAAAGCAACATCCTAACGACTCATTGTCCGGTGTCACGTATGCGCATAAATGGAATTCTATTCACGGCAACAGCTTTCTCCAAAGCGAGGAAGCGGATCAAGGCTCTCCCTGCAAGGCGTACGGCATAGCAGACGAGCCTTCGACTTCTCTGCCCTGTTCTCTTTCATCGGCCCTGTGCTGTGAAAAGGCGGACATTTGGTTGAGGGATCTCCGTGCTGTTCACTTATAGCGTTGTTCTGCGGGGCGGCGCATTGGCCCTCGCCCCGTTCTAGCGCTGTCGACATGAAGATCACTATAGAGGTAGAGATCCAGCCGGATGAAGTCGGCCTTGCTGCGGAATTGCTAAGCACGCTGAGGTATGGTACAGGGCTCGTGCATGAGATCGGCTTGCGATGCTCCGTAAAGTTCGGTGTACAATGCACGCTACCGTCAGTGCCGCCTTTTCTAGGGATCTATTCACGCAAGTGCACTTATTATGCATGATCTTGTGCATGAGCTGGAACTCTGGTCTAGATGCTGAGCGGGATGTTGTCAAGGAAACCTTTGGGTTAGCACGAGCACCACATAGTATACTTCGTTGCTTGCTTTGCTTTAACCACCTACTGGTAAGCGGTAATGCGATATTATGACCGTGCACGCCTTACGATTCCCCAACCTTTCACGTCCCATCAAAATTGCTTGCAACCGCTGTTCGCTTTACAGGACCCTAACCGACCATGTCAAGGTGGTAACTCCTGCGGCGGGCGCTGTCGGCGCAGCAACAGCCCCGGCCATTGCGAATGGCCCAGCAGCCCCACACGTCCCCCCAGCCCGCGCCGCTCCCACACCTCCTGCCACCCAGCCCCAGCAACCCGCAACCAGCCTCCCACAACAACCCCAGCAGCCTCAACTTCCCGCCGCTCCAGCCATGCCTCCCGCGGCTCCCGCTGCGCCCGCACCCGCTCCCGCTCCCGCCGCACAACACCCCACGCCCGCACCCCCACCCCAGCAACCTCCCCAGCCACAGCCCCCCCAGCCCCAACCTCCGCAGCAGCCCCCCCAGCAGGCGCCTGCTGCTGCTGCTGCTGCTGCCCCCCAGGGGCCTCAGGGCACCCCGCAGCCCCTCCATGCGTGCGTGCCGCGGCTGGCTAGCCCCGCCACCCAGGAGCAGGCGGTGGCGGATGTGGTGGCCACGTTGCGTGCGGCGGAGCGGGAGGAGCGGCTGCCGCAGGCGGTGGAGGTAAGGGAGGGCGGGGAAGGAGGGAGGGACGGAAGAAGGAGGGTGGAGGATGGAGAAGGAGGGAGGGGAGGTAGGATGGGGAAAAAGGAAAGGAGCAGCAGGGACAAGCCGTGAAGAAAGCGCTGTGCACAAGTGAATCTTGGTGGGGCCTTGGCAGGGAGGGCGGCCCGGGGTTGCTGCCCCCTTGGGTGGGTAGCTGACAAGGTGGTGCTGTGCAGGCGACTGACGTGGCTGCCCCTGCTTGGGTCGTTGGTTTGGGTCGGCATGTCGGGTTGGATTGAGTGGGGCTAGGAAGGTTGGGGTCGTGACTTGGCGAACGGGGGCAGGTCGCGAGCCCTTGGGAGCCCTTGCGGAGAGGAGTGGGAGGTCCTCCTCCTTCCTCCGGCCGCCTCCTGTCCCGATTGCCCTGCCCTGACTTGCATTTGCAATTTGGATTTTGGTATCTCTGTCCTCTCAAGTAAGAAAATCCCCGTTCCTCCTCTCCTCCTCCCCCTCCCCCTCTCCCCCCAGGAGCTGGTTGCTTCCTTTGAGCAGCAGGTGTTCGACAACCCCGAGGTCATCGGATCCACCGTGGGAGTGGTGAGCAGGACGGGACAGGGGGGGGCAGGGGCGGCCGTACCTACACCAGGGCCCTACTTACGTGATTTGAGACCAACCAAATAAACCAAACCAAACATCATAAACCAAGATCTAAGACCTCCTAACAATACTGTCCTACCGCTGTCCTCTCCCCCCCCAGCTGCCGTACATGTCGCTGTACCAGCGGCTGCCTGAGGAGCTGCGGCCCAAGGTCCGGGATCGCATGGTGGCCAAGGTGAGGGTGGGGAGGGGGGGGGAGGGGGGGGAGGGGGGGAGGGTTACGACCCCTTACGAGGGGGAGGGAAAGGAGGGAGAAAGCCCACCCGCTTCCTGTGAAGACCACAGCGCTGTCATATGTTCCCCACCCCCTACACGCATGCATGCTGCATGCCTTCATAGTACGTGCTCTTACCCGCGGCCAGTTCCCTTGGACCACCACACAGCTCAACATTACGTGGCTAGGTGACTCCGACACACCCTCCTGACCCGCCCTCCCTCCCGCCCCCCCTGCAGGTCCTGACCGCCCTCACCCGCAAGCGCCCGCCCTCCGCCGACCGCACCTCCTTCTTCGCCTACGCGGACGCATTCGCCACGCTGGTCAAGTTCGAGGCGGTGCCCATGGACGGTGGGAGCAGGGGGGGAGACAGGGGAGAAACTAACCCGAGGAGGGGAGGCAGGGGTAGCATGGCAGAGAACAAGTCCTAAGCGACAGTGGACCACTCGTAGTAGAAGGGAGGGAGAGGGGTTACAGGGAGGGTATCGAGGACACCGTAACACGACGGTGGCTAGGGTGGCTAGGGTGGCTAGGATGCACCCGCCTTCCCGAGCTCAAGATCACACCACTCAGCCCCGCCCGCATTACCCACCTCCTTATCCTCCTCCTCTTCTCCCCCTCCCCTCCCCGCCCCTTCCCCCTTCTCCCCCCCCCCAGGTGCCGTGCAGACGCTCGCCCGGCTGCTGCTCAAGCCCGACAACCGAGTGGCGGGAGTGACCATGCTGGGCAAGACGGTGGAGTACTGCGGGGAGCAGGTGGGGGGTGAAAGACAACAACAACATGTGCGGCAACGTGTGTCCCAATCCCATATCCCGACTCATGCAGTGAGCGCATTCGCATTCGGGGGTCAAAGACCATACCAAACCATAGGAGACCACAGGTTAGGGCAAAGCAAGGGGGGTAGGAGGCGGCAGGGTGCCACAAGACAAAGTGTTGGTTAGTGTGCCCTACCGATACCGTGTCCGCATTCGGGGGTGGGGGGGTCTAGAGCAGGAAAGGAAGTGCAGAGGAGCGAGATACCGTTCCATGGATACCGTAAAGAGTATAGAAACGGTCAATGTGCGGCGTGGTTTGGTTAAACAAAGGAGGACATTCATATGCAACGAGCTTAATGAAGCTGTTGACAAGGGCTGTTTCGAGCGTGTGTTGTGTAACCGTGTTACCGTGCGTAAACTTAACCGCTCGGTTTTTTGTGCAAACTTCACTAATCTTGCCGTACTTATTGCCGTACATTCCCGCTTCTTGTTGCCGCCGTACTGCAGTTGCTGCGCACCCCGGAGACCCACCTGGCCAACCTGTGGCGGGCGCTGGAGGCGGTCAAGGAGGAGGCATTCAGCTACGACCTGCAGTACATTCTGCAAACACTGGTACGACACAGCCGTACAGTTGCACTGTCGTACACGCATGCTTGCATGCAGTGGTGTGTGGTAAATTAACTGGCCGCGTGTGCCGTGTGTGTGGTTTGCGCACTCCAACCCATGGCTATGTGGCCCCTCTTACCCCCCCCCCCTCCCGCTGCCCCCGCCCCTCACCCCGCCCTTCTCCTCCCTCGCAGCACGCCTTGCTCCCACCGGGCTCCCAACTCCCAGGCGCCGCTCCCGCTCCTCCCGCCTCCACCCCCGCCGCCGCCGCCCCAGCCGCCCCAGCCCCTACCTCCGCCCCCGCCACCTCGCCTCCCCCCGCCCCAGCCGCCGCCCCTGCCGCCGCCGCCGCCCCCGCCACCTCCTCCGCCCCCGCCGCCCCGGCGCCCAACCCCACCCCCACCTCCATGGTCCACATGGGCTGCTACAGCGGCCACGTCAGCACGGTGTTCACCATGTGCTACGACGCGACGTCGGGGCAGCTGGCGAGTGGCGGGCAGGACGGGCAGCTGCTGGTGTGGGGGCATGACGGCACTCCGGCGAGCAGGTGAGAGCTTTGGGGGGAGGAGGAGGCAGGAGGAGGTGGGATATTGGGGGCCGGGGAGCATGGTTGTTTTGCAACAGCCCTCTCGCCATATGCTAAGTTGCTAACCCTGGGCCGCCCTTTTGCGACCTCCTACTGGTTTTACGTGCGTATAACCCCCATTAATGTTGCCCTTTTCCCCGTCCCCCATTCCCGCCTCGTCCCATCCTAGGCTGGACGTCTCCTCGCACTTCATCTGCTCCCTGGATGTCCTCCCGCGCTCCGGAACCATCCTGGCAGCAGGCGTCCCGATTGACCACTCCAACCCTGAGGGCCCCCCACCCGCCGAGCCCCCCTGCGTCCTCGCCTTCAGCCCCCCGCCCGCCGCCGGCGGCCCCGCCACTCGCATGGGCCCTTGGACCCCCCGCGGCCGACTGTACGGCCCCGGCCGCGGCTTGATCAGCTTTGTACGATCACTGGGTGGCGACGGAGAGGTCTTCGCAATCGGCGAAAACGTTGCCGCGACGACGCCCGGTACGGCAGCCAAGGATGTCGTATCTCTGTACGACGCGTCGCGTGGGGGCCCGATGGAGCAATCCGTACCTCTCGTGTCGTACGGCGAGCACCGCGACATGGTGACGTGTGCGGCGCCCTGGTGGTCGAACCCGGCTGTGTTTGTGTCTGGCGGGCGCGACTGCGCGATCAAGGTGTGGGATCGGCGCATGGCGCAGAGCGTGGGTGGTTTCGGGGAGTTGGACAGCGGCAGCGGAGTGGTGCGGGCACATGGCGACATGGTGACCTGCCTGGACACCACTGACAACCTGCTGCTGAGCACGTGTAAGTGCGGGCTGGGGGGGGGGGGGAAGGGGCAGATGGGAAACGGGCTAGTCATTTGCCTGTATAGTGTGTGCTTGCATGGGTGCTTAGGGTGATGAATACAGGGGTATGCTATTACTCTGGGGCCTTGCAGCTGCCGGGCACACAGACGACAGCTGTTTGTTACACACATTCCCCTTCGCATCGCAACACTAAAGGCATCATCGAGCCAACTCCTCCCCCCCTCTCCTCCTTCTTCCTCCCTCTTCCCGCACCCCAGCTGTGGACAGCTACATGTGCATCTGGGACTTCCGGCAGCTCAGCCTGACCCACGGGTCGGTGGCGGGACCCATGGTGAAGCTCCAGCTCGACACGCAGCCCACACTCAAGGTACGTCGTGCTGTGTGTGCTGTGGTGGTGGGGTGGTGGGATGTGGTGGGGTGGTGGCCCCTTTGGTGACGGTGGCTACATGCCGTCATGTGCCCGCCTGCCTACATGTCCGCCTGCCTACCTGTCCGCCTGCCTACCTGTCATCACCCCTCATCAGGCTATAGGGACTGTCTTTTCGGTTTCTCGCTTAACATGGCCACGTCTGTGTTAACCACCCGCCACCCAAGCTAGTCTGCTCTGATCCTTCCCGACACCCCTAGACCTTGCCACCACCCCGCGCCTGCTCCCGTCCCCCCTCCCTCCTCATGGCTCACATGATGCAACCCATGTTGACGCCTTATCCCTCAGTCAGTTAGTTGTTTCCTCTTTACCCTCCCTCCCGGATATGGGATTGGGACTTTAGTTGTTTGCATTTCTTATATAATTTTCCTCCCCCCCCTCCCTCCCCCTCCCTCCCAGATTGCTGTCACGGGCGCTCCGCACTCGCGACTGGCCGCCATCAGCACCTACCAGGGTGGGTGGGGGTGGGTGGGCGGAGGGCGCTGCCGGGGAGGGCGCCGCCGGGGAGGGCTAGGCAGGGTTAGGGAGGGCTACAGGGGGAGTTGAGGAGGGCTAAAGGGAGGGCTGTGGAGGGCACAGTAACGCGCCCCTCCAAAACCATCTACCGCAAACCCCGACCCCTCCACCACCATGGTCCTCCTCCACCGCCTAGCCTCACCCTCCTCTCCCGTACCCCTTTATTCCCTTTCTCATCGTCCTTCCCCTCCTCCCTCCCCTCCCCGTCTCATCTCCCCGATCCCCCCCAGGCCTGTACGTCATGGACTTCACGCATCTCGCCACCCCCCACACCCTCATCGCTCCGCCCTTCTCCGACGGCCGCCCCTTCAAGTACTACCACGACATCCGCTGGGCGGGTGGACCTGGCGCACCCGGGCAGCCGGTGCTGTTCGGCGCGTCGGACGACCCGCGCATTGACGTGTTCGGACTGGCGTTCTAAGGGGGGCGGGAAGGCTGGCGTTCTAAGGGCGTTTTAAAGGGGAGAAGGGCGTTCTAAGAGGGGAAGGAGAGGGCAGGCATAAGGGAAAGGCGTAAGGAGAAGGCGGGCGGGTGGTGCGGCAGAGGGGTAGAGGGGAGGGGAGGGGTGCGTAGGATCATGAGGCATGGGGCCGGCTAGGGAGGCTAGCATGGCGTGGGGAAGGGTGAGGGAGTTGGGAGGGGGCATTGGGATTTGCGACAAGGAAAAGGAGAGGAAGAGAGGGAAGAGGGGTATCGGTCGGAGCTAGTGGTTGATGTTGTTGGGATGTGATGTGAATGCGGGTGTTGGTGACGTGGGCGAGATGTTGAACATTTTGGAATAGGATAAGTCCCATGGGTCGTTTGTTTGGTGACTGGAAGACGCACATGGTAGGGGCGGGAAGGCGCTGTGACGACGAGTTATGGGCATCAGTGGGGCTTATGGGTTGATTTGGGTTGGCTTTGCGCAAAGCTGCGCTCCTGGGCTTTGTGTGACCCTAGGAATGTCGGCAAGGTGGCATGGGGCAGTTGAAAGAGGAACGGCAGGAGTTGTTTGAGAACAGGAGACAACCGTACGGTGCGCTGCGAGCGGCCAACCATCAGTTGTACTTTTTGTACATGCAGTAGCAGCGCGGACGCGTGTGTTAAGACAACTGGCCGCGAGTCGGAACGTACTGTGATTGCCGGAAGATGAAGTCCCGGACGCGTGTGTGTGCTCTGGGAAGCTGAGTTGGGGCTGTCATGGCAACAGCGGGGCTGCAGGAGTAGTAGATGGCAGCGATGGGCGTGTCTTGAGGAGGCAGGTGTAGGTTCCAGGTCCCGAGGTTGTCGCAGGCTGATCTTTGGCGATACGGTTCATGTTCGGACGATGCAGGGTGGTTGGTTACACGCCATAATTCCTTGACGCAATTGGCCCTCGGCGGCCTTGAGCTCGAGTGGTATGACCTTGCAGAGCATTAAACAATTGGCCTCGTTGCGTCCCCACCGCATCGAATAAGCACAGAGGCACCGCTCTACATGCATCGGTGTTGCATTATATGCTGCACTAGTCCTGCCAGACGCCTTGGGGCTTTCAGTAATACACTACTATCCACAAGCCTCCCAACACGTCGTTACCATCTACCTAGCAAACCCTAACGTCGGCATCACTCCTTCCCCGCTAACCACGCTCCCACGGCATATGATACCACAGCACGCAACCTATCGATGAACAGGCCTACAACTAGCACCCAGTATGTACATGTCAAGGGTGTAATACCAAGCACGGGCCTCTCCCACGCATATCTAAAGGGGCGTGCAATTTAGCCATTATAAAATCAGAGCACCAAGCCTCCATCTGCCTCCATCATGCTCGCTTTCCAGCTTGACGTTCAGCTGTTTTGCCGCTTCTGCTCCTCAGTCAGCCACTTAACCATCCACGCTACTGGGTCTTGTGGTCGTTCGACGAACAGGTCGGCCGTCATCTTTTGTAGGAGCTCCTGGACAATGGTGCTGTGAGCATACTCCCGCATCTTCTCGTAGAGGGGAGTCTGAACCGCTGTGCCATGAAGTGGCCTGGACTCTGAGTACTGAGTAGACATGTTTGCTTTATATTGTTAGTTTGTCGAGTTCTTCTTATGGGTCAAATGGACATGCAAGAAAGGCAAAGAGTAGTCTTGCTGCTTATTCAGGTATGCTTGTTTACTTCGCTGTTATATTTGGTTCCTTTGCTGCTTCTTCGAAGGTCGCACGGTGAAAGAACATGGCCTACACAATCTGGGCGCCGTACAAAGGCAATTCATAATCCCGACGCCAGCACAATTCGCGAATTGCCTGGGGCAAAATTATAACCCTCACAACGCTGCTGGGCAAAAAGTAGCATTAGAATATTACAAGCTTGCGGCCGGTAAATTAGGGGCTGACAAGTGCCCAGCAATTCCGGCCGGTCCGCAGCCTTTAGAGACGACCAAGGCTATCACCGTTATAACAACAATCGTCAGAATGATTCAGACACGCCTTCTCGGTTGTAGCACAGCCGGAAGCGTAAGGCGGAGTTGTCCCACGGGCCTAAGACACTTGCAGGTACGAATGGTTCGGACAGGGACCAGAAAGGGAAGCGTCGGCAATCACAGGCACCATCATGTGACGTCGCAAATCCTCCTCAAACCCCACCTTTCGCTTTCGCCGCCCCCCCACCTGCCCCCGTATCGGACAACGTCCCCCTTTCCCTCGACCTGTCCTCACCCCCACAGCAGGCAACCATCTCAAAGTTCCACACCCTCAGTCACCAGCCAACAAGGCGAACAAAGCAAAAAGCAATTGCAGCAGCAACAGCAACAACACAACAGGAGGAAGTGTCCTGGGAGGATTGGGTGCAGGAAGATCGCCGCCGTACGACCGTTAGGCCAACTGCCGACCCAACTGCCGAACCGGGCTCCAAGTCAGCCAGGCGGCCATCCAGGCTTCGTACCCGTGGCTCCAGCGGCGGCGGTGACGACGGCGGCAAGGATGACGGCGAGCGTGACGAGGGCTTCACCATTAGCGGTGGTAGCAAGGGAGGGATCCGAAACCGTGGTGAAGACAGCAGCTCACATCGCAGCCGCCAGCGCAGCAGGAACCGCAGTAACGCACAAGAAGGCGGTGTCGATGCCGAACCCCATGCCGCTGCTGCAGGCGGTTCTAGCGCCAGCGCAAACACGGCAGACGGCCGCCAGCGCCTTGACGCTGTACGGCAAGATGTACAACAGGATCGCAGGCAGGGCAGCATTTCCGGCAGCAGCAGGTGGGGCAGGGATAGGGGCAGTAGCGGCAGCGGTGCCGCTCGTGCCCTGAACCAGCAGCTGCAGGGTGCCGGGAGCTGTCAGGAGCTGCTGCGGGTGCTTCAGGAGCTGCAGGGGCAGCAGCAGGACCATGAGGGGGGTGATGATGACGCCGCCCAAGACAGTGACGCCCAAGACGATGAGGAGGACGAGGACGGCAGCGGTGCGAAGGGAACAGAAGCACCAGCAGCAGCGGCACCTGCCGCCCTGACGCCTGTCAACGTCGCCAGCGCCTGGGTTCGATTGGCGAACCTTCGGACCTCAGCTGCCTTCAGCAGCGGCAGCGGTGGCGAAACGTACGGCAGGGGTGCTGACGGCGGCGGCGCCGCTGACGCCGATGCTGAGAGTACGGTGGAGGGCGCTGCGTGCGCCTCCGTCATTCGGCTGCTGCTGGGCCCTACGGTGGCGGCGGTGGCGCAGATGGACTTGCGGCAGGCGGCGAACACGGTGTGGGCGGTTGCAAAGGTAAGAAGGGTTGCAGCCGGCGGAGAGCCGAGAGCAGGAGACATTTGAGGTAGTGATTTGAGATTACAGTGTGCGTGCGTCGTGATATGCATCATGATGTCATGTCATCGGTCCAACTAACGCATTTCCCGGTCCCTTGTTCTCCCTGAACTCAGCTCGAGCAACAAGTGGCTTCAGCCACATCGCCGCCCGCTCGCAGCGGCAAACGTCGCGGTAGTTTTGGAGCCGGAGGCAGCGGAGGCGGTGGAAGGTCAAGAGTCGGACGCCTACCCGAGTTGCTACAGCCGCTGCAACGACGAGTGCTTGAACTGCTACAGCCGCTGACTGAAAAGCCGAAAGCTGCTGCTACAGCCTCCGCGGAGAAACACGCTGGGAAGGGCCGTACTGCTGCACTGCTAGATCTGCGTGACGCCGCTCAGCTCTGGTACGGCGTCGCTACAACAGTACGACACACATGGGACGAGCAGTTGGTTTCGGAGCTCGTAGAGGCGACATTGCGGAAGATGGAGGCGGTGGTTGCGAGCAACGACAACAGCGACAGCACTGCTGCAGCTGAAACAAGGACGACAAGGGCGGCAGAAAACGGCAGCGGCAGGTACAGTCGCCGTCCGGATGGCGACGACCGCAGCGCGAACGAGGATCCCGACAGCAGTAGCAGCAGCAGCTGTAGTACGGCATCCTTCAAGGAACGTACGGCAGTGGCTCAGCTTATCTTCCGCATGGGCGCTCTAGTGGGGCCCAACTTGGTTTCGGAACATAAGGCCCGCCTAACCGCCCTCGTCGACATCCTATCCCGCGACCTCGCGGTGTCACCAGCTGCTGCTGCTGTTGAGGGCGCTGCTGCCTCCGGCCTTGCATCATCGACTTCATCCTCTCCCTCCTCCTCCTCGCCAGCGCGACTGGACAACCCAGACTGCCTCCTAACAGGAGCTCGTCTCATGCGCCTCAGTCTGCCGCCGGAGACTGTACGACAACTGCACGACGCCACGCTGGCGTTGCCTCCTGCGGCAGCGGCACGTGTGGGCCGTACGGCAATGGCTCGCGCCCTTCACAGTGCCGTACAGATGGGTTTGCAGCCCAGCCTGGCGGAGGCGAAACGCTGGCAGCGGCGGCTGGTGGCGGAGTTCAGTTCCGCTGGTGGCGCCAGGTGGCGTAGCTCGGACCTCTCTTGGACCATGCTGGCCCTGTCTGGGGTGGAGGCTTACGTGCCGGACCCGGCAGCGCGAGATGGAATGGTCCGTGCGGTGTGCGGTGCGTTACGTGAGGCTCGCGCGAATGATGCGACGCGCATTCGCGCGGCGGTTACGGCATGGGGGCTGCGGTTGCCGGAGCGAGAGAGGGCGTTGTTGGCGCAGAAGGCTGGGGCGGAGGAGGAGGCCGACGTCGAGGGTGGGCGTGGTGGGGAGGGAGAGCGTGGGCGGGGTTATGGCGGTGGGAGGCGGGAGGAGGAGCGGGGTTATGGCGATAGGAGGCGGGAAGAAGGGCGGGGCTATGGCGGTGGCAGGCGGGAGGAAGGGCGGGGTTATGGCGATAGGAGGCGGGAGGAAGGGCGGGGTTATGGCGGTGGGAGGCGGGAGGAGGAGCGGGGCTACGGCGGTGGGAGGCGGGAGGAGGAGCGGGGTTATGGCGATAGGAGGCGGGAAGAGGAGCGGGGCTACGGCGGTGGGAGGCGGGAGGAGGAGCGGGGTTATGGCGATAGGAGGCGGGAGGAGGAGCGGGGCTACGGCGGTGGGAGGCGGGAGGAGGAGCGGGGTTATGGCGATAGGAGGCGGGAGGAAGGGCGGAGCTACGGCGGTGGGAGGCGGGAGGAGGAGCGGGGTTATGGCGATAGGAGGCGGGAGGAAGGGCGGGGCTACGGCGGTGGGAGGCGGGAGGAGCAGCGGGGCTACGGCGGTGGGAGGCGGGAGGAGGAGCGGGGCTACGGCGGTGGGAGGCGGGAGGAGGAGCGGGGCTACGGCGGTGGGAGGCGGGAGGAAGGGCGGGGCTACGGCGGTGGGAGGCGGGAGGAGGAGCGGGGCTACGGCGGTGGGAGGCGGGAGGAAGGGCGGGGATATGGCGAAGGCGGCAGGGACCAGAGGGGGTCCTTTTGGAGCTTTGGCAGTAAGCCGGTAAACCGGGAGGGAGTGGCACGGTAGGCTATGACCCATGGGTCACCCTACCGATGGGTATGCGATCGGGGGTGGTTGAGCAGGAGAAGTAGCAAGGGCGGGAAATTCTTATGTAGGCCGCAATCAGGCTGGTGCAGGGGCGCATGTGCTATATAGAGGCAACACTTGCTGGACATGGTACCGATAGTTACCCGTCAGGATCCCCGTCGGGTGTTGGTTTGCCGCCGCGTCAACATGCAGGCGCCGTGTTTTACTGCAGGATGATAGCAGGAGAGAGAAAAGGTGATGCGATGCAACGTGCTGGGGCTGCTGCTGGCATCAGCTGTGGTTGGTTGCTTAGGGGGCAGATCGGGGCTGGTGGTGCGGTGGTGGTAAGTATGAAGTACGTCCTGGTGCTGGATGGGGGACACAGAGCGATACCGTACCCTGGACGACATCGCTTATAACATTGACAGTATCCGCAGTGGCACCCCGGGGGCACACTGACAGAAACACAGAGTATACAGTATCTTGGGTCAGTTGCGCGTACATCCGGTTATACCGTAACCAGGTAACATATTGTCCCATCATTACGTATATGCCCCATCAACCACGTGCCTCAGGGCTTGCGTATGTGTTCACGTCAGTAAAGCCCCGTTTCATGGTACCCGCATGACCACCAGCCTCACAACAGCCTCACCGTGACTGCAATTGCTGCTGCAGCAGCTGTCGCCATTCCTGAGACCCGTCCAAGCATGTACTTTGAAGATGTACCTTTTCCGAAGTTTATATCATCGTTCATTTGTAGTAGATCATAAAAACGGCAATAAACAGCCACACCAAGCCAGAGGTAACAGCCCAGCAAAGATATATAGACGTCCTACTATCCCACACAACACCAAACCCTACAAGCCCTCCGCCCCTCCCACGCCCCCAACCGACACCGCTCCCCAACTCCCTTGCTGCTACCGCGTCTTATGCCTCGGGTGCGGCAACCTGCTACCGCCTCCTCCTCCTCCCACACCACCACCACCGGGCACAGTACCGGTAGCACCCGCACCAGCCGCAGCACCGCCGCCGCCACCACCACCGGCAGCAGCAGCAGCACCCCCCGAAGGTGATCCAGCAGCTGCCGCCGCTGCCCCCGTCATCGGCGGCAGCAGCAGCGCTGACGGCGGCAGCATCGGCGCCGCGGAGAGCATTGCCGCCGTCGCCACAGCTGTTTGGTAGGCGTCGGGGCCGGCGGCGGCGAGGGCGGGTCCTGCAGTCCAACCGCCGCCATGGGGGTGCAGGTGGGGGTGGGAGTGGGAGTAGCCGGGTGCTGCTGCTGCTGATCCGCCGGCGGACATGCCGGGTGCCCCCGCGCCGCTGACCATGCGGTCTCGGAGGGCCCTGTGAGGGGAGATTGCAGTGGGGTCAACTGGGTTCAATGGGTTCAGGTCAGGGAGTAGGGTTTGTGTCGCGAGTAGCCCCTCTAGAGCTGTTGTAGGGAAGAGAGATAAGGAGGATAAGGACTGGGTTTCAGGACCGGCTGACTGCAGTGGTTTCCCCCAGTTACCGGTAGCTCTTCCCAACTCACTTTCTGAGCGCCTCCAGCTCCTCGTGAATGGTGGCGGCGCGGACGACCGGGGGCAGACGGAGGAACGCAGGGTCGCCGGCAGCCTGGGGGGAGGAGCCGCGGGAGGGAACGCGAGGAAAGGGGCGGGAAGGAGGGACGTTGAGGTGCTGGAATCAGGACGGCGACGGGGCCGACGGTGTGCATGATGCGAGATGCGGGGGGAGGTATGCGTGGGTTGTTTGTGGGGAAAAAGAAGAATTTCCAATGCGTGGAATGAGAACGAATTCCACGAATGTGTGTGTGCGAGGGGGGGGAGTACGGTGTGGGCTACTACATGTCGCCCGCAGCAGCACCCAAAGGGGCCCCCAGCACTGACCCTTCTTTCGGCCACCCCATCGCAAGAACCCCTTCTGTATAGCCGGAATCTGTGTCGTGTCTTGTGCCGTGCACCCGTGTACGGTACCCGCACACCCGTACCTTGAGTCGCGCCACCTCACTCGCACTTGCGTCCACCTCGCGCTGGAGTCGCTCGATGACCTGCGCCGTCAGCGATGAGTGAAGCCGACCCATGGGTCAATGCGGGTGCGTGTTAACAACGGCACCCCTTGTCGCATTGTTGCCAGATCCCAGCAATGTACCCCTTCCATATTAAACCTCAACAATGCCTCTACAATCCCCCATCCAAAGTTTCCCGTGCCCCGATCCCTAGGTCTAATCGTGGCCCACCACCCTCACTGTCCCCGAAAGCCTCCCTCCCCCCCTCTGGTTTCAATTTGTCCGGAAATTGACCCCCCCTCACCTTCTCCAGCTGCTTCTGCACCGACACCGCATCGAACTTGACTCGCCGCACCTCCTCCTCCCGTGCCGCCAGCTGCGCCCGCAGCCCCGCCAGCTGCCCCTCCGCCGCCGCGCCGCTGCGAACCACCTCCACCCGGCCCTCACTCAGCTGCGCGCGAGCAGCCTGGGAGGGGAGAGGAGGGGAGGGGAGGCAGTCAAGGGAATACCGTAGTAAAACACAAGCGAGGGCAAGCGAGGGGATAGGAGCTAGAGGGAGTGGGAAGGGAATAGGAAAGAGGCAGGAGTAGAGGAGTAGCGAACGAGGCAACCCCCAACCTCCAAACCGCCTGTGTCTGTCCCGTTGTTAGAGGGGCCATCAGTACTGGTCAAACCACGCGTAGCCACTCACTCTACTCGTGGCTGCCCCCCCCCCCCAAACCAACCCCCCCCCCACCTCTACCCCCTCCCCCCTGCCCCCACCTCCAGTTCCTTCCCCATCGCCTCCCTCCTCGCCGCCTCCGCCCCCAGCCGCCCCCGCGCCTCCCTCAGCTCCCGCTGCCACCCCTCAGCCATGGCGCGAGCCAGTGCGGCAGCCTTGCCCGCCTCGTCCAGTTGGGCCTGGTAGGGGGGAGGGGGGCAGGGGGCAGGGGATTACCAGGGATACACCTTCCGGGGAGAGGGGTGGGTAGAGGAGGGGAGAGGTTGGATAGGGTTGCCGATCCGTCCCTCCACTACCGGTACCCCTATACCACCTGCAGCTTGGCCATCTCCGCCGCATATTGGTCCCCCTAGTAAGGTGATCCCCCCTCCATTGGTCCCTCCCTCAGCCCAAATGCGCTCCCCTCCAGCTTTCTTCCCCCCCACCCCAACGTCGCCGCCCTGCTGAGTCGGTACCTGCAGCTTGGCTTTCTCCGCCGCCGCCGCCTCCCTCACCGCCGCCTCCGCTAGCAGCCGCTCCTTGTCCCGCCCCGCCGCCTCCAACCGCAACCGCTGCATCTCAGCCTGTGTAGTAGGGGTGGTGGGGGGTGGTAGGGGTGGTGGGAGTGGGGGTGGGGGTGATGGTGGTGGTGGGAGTGGTGGGGGGTTATAGGAGGCATACCAACCCATGGGTGACCCGCGTGACAACTGACAAGGGGTCCACCCGTGGGAAGGGTTATGCGCGTTTGGGGGTTAGTCGCAACGCGCAAGGGCGGGCTGGATCAGCAGTACGACGTCAACCTCCACCCACGCCCCAATCTGGAGTCATCCCCCTTCCGCCTCCTCCTCCCTCCATGCCCCCCCCCACCTGCAGCCTGGCTCCCTCCGCCGCCTGCTCCTCCTTGGCCCGCACCAGTGCCGCCTTCTCCCCCTGAGCACCCGCCAGCTGCTTCTGGAGGTCCTTCAACTGGGGTGACAGGGGGGCGGAGGTGGGGCGGGAAGCGGTTTAGGTGTTTTTTGTGGAAAGGGTGAATGGGAGGGGGGTGAGAGGGAAAGAGGGACAAGAATGGAAAAGCCCCGTCCCACATAGGGTAACGTTGTTGCCTACGAAAACCCCCGCGCCTCCCCTGTTCCTCCCTCCTTCCCCCCTGCTTCCCCATCAAACACACCTGCAGCTGCAGCAGCCCCACATTCCTCCTCGTCGCCTCCAGCTCCGCCTCCCTCCCCGCCAGCACCTCCCCCCTGCCCGCCAGCTCGGCCTTCAACGCCGCCTCCCGCCGCCCCGCCTCCGCTGCCGCCGCCTCCGCCTCGGTCCGAGTGCGGGCATGCGCCTCGGTCTCCTCTCGCAGCTTGTCGGCGTCAACCTGGGGGGTCAAAGACCATACCAAACCATAGGAGACCACAGGTTAGGGCAAAGCAATGAGGGTAGGAGGCGGCAGGGTGCCACAAGACAAAGTGTTGGTTAGTGTTGGGGGGGGAGGGGGAGGTAGCAGGGTGAAAGGTGGAAACTGAAGAGCTTCAGACGAGGGGGCTTCACCATGGATTGCTACACTGGACCCGGCCCATCCCAGCCCGCCAGAAGAAGTGGTGGGGTGGGCGGGTAAGGAAGAAGGACGCGGTGAGGGAAAGTGCGTGCGTGAGGCGGTGCGGCGAAGGAAACGATGTTTGATGAAGAGGAAGAGCGTGGGAAAGTCACACAAGGGAATAGGGGAAAGACCAGAGCGACCACGAACACACGGGGCGGGGGTCGCGCCTCCCAGCCCCGGGCCTTCCTGCCTGCCGTACATTGACGTACACCCCCACAACCCTCCATGTCCCATTCCTGCCTGCCGTACCTACCTTTTTCACCACCTGCTGCCACTCCTTGAGCCGGCTGAGCTCCCGGGACACGCGCTCCAGCTCGCCCCCCAGCCTGGCGCACTCCTCAGCTAGGCGCCCCGCCTCCTGCTCGTAGTGCTGCCTGGGGTGGGGTGGGGGGGCGGATAGGAGAGCGACCCGACCAGGGGAAACCACAGGTTAGGGTTAAGCAGCGGGGACAGGAAGCAGCCTCATAGAGCCACACAACAAGTGAGGGTCAGCGGCCCCTCGTAGTGCCGCCTGAAGGGGTGAGGTACCGGTAAGAGAGAGGGATGGAGGGCTGGACGCAGCAGCTTCCATGCCAAGCCTCCCGCCTCATCCCGCAACCACCCAACCCAGCATAACCCTCGCCTATACCTCTCGCTGCGTGTATGCTGCAGGCTGCTCTGTGCTGCCGCCGCGGCCTCCTGCGCCGCCGCCGCCTGCTGCCGTGCCGCCTCCGCCGCCTGCCTCAGCTCGGTCGCCTGCTGCCGCAGGTGCCCCACGTCCGCCCGCCGGGCCGCCAGCTCCTCGCGCAGGGAGGCCAGCGAGTCGGACTGCTCGCCGACCTTGGCCTGGAGGGGAAGGGGAGGAGGTGAGGTGAGAGGTGTGACAAAGGAAAGAAGAAGAAAGAGAACAAGAACAAGAAGGGCAAGTTGGTAAAGACAGTGGCACCTCGTAATGGCACCGCGCCAACAAGCCAAAGCACCCGGCCAAGCGCCCGCTCGTGCCCTGCAAACCCCTATAACCCGCCTGCCACCCTCCTCCCAAGCCCTCCCCCTACCCTCAGCTCCCTAGCCTCCCCCTCCACCGCCGCCAGGTCCTGCCGGCACCGCTCCAGCTCCGCAGCCAGGTCCGCGCGCTGCTTCTCGAGCGCCCACACCTCGTGACGGGCCTGGGGGGGAGTAAAGAAAACTGGTGTGTGTATGTACGGCATGGAGGATGTAAGAGAGAAGCAAGACGCGCGTTTCTAGGGAAGTCGCCAGTTAAGGCCTTTATGCAATGTGGAGATGAGGCTGCGGGAGGGTTGAAGGGAGAGGATGAGGGGGACAGGCGGCGGACGGACGCAACGGCATATCCCCCCAGCCCATGCCCTCCATCCTGCCCTCCATCCTGCCTTACCTCCGCCGCCTCCCTCCGTGCCTCCTCCGCCTCCTCCCTCGCCGCCGCCAGCTCCCCCTCCCGCTCCTCCAGCCTCCCCCGCACCTCCTCCCGCTCCCGGCATGCAGCTGCAAGGGAGGTGCGCAGGGTGGCGCAGGCGGCGGAGGACTCGTCCAGGCGGACCTGGGGGGGGGCGCGGGGAGGGGGGAGAAGGGGCGGGGGCGGTAAGGGTGCGGGGAAGGGCGGGAAAGGGTTGCGTGTGGCCAGGGTGTTTGCGGTTGAGTGGGGCCGGGAGGGCTGGAGAGGGGTTAAGCAGGGCATTGCAGTAGTAGTAGCGGCATTGCAGCAGCATTCGTAGCAGGGGGAGGAGACTTGGCTTAAGCGAATGATCAACTCCGCATCTCCTTCCCCTTCCATGTACACCATACACATGCATGTTCGCACACATGCATGTCGTACACTCGTACACGCTCCCGTATACCTGCAGCGCCCGGTTGCTGCCCTCCAGCCGACCCATGGTTCCCGCCACCATGTCCGTCATGAAGGCCATGTCGTCCACCGCCTGACTCACGCCGGGCCAGGAGAGTGCCGTACCGTCTAGGATGGCCAATACCTGTGGGATGGGAGGAGAGGAGAGGGGAGGGACGGGGTTGACAGTAGGATGGCACGTTCCCGAGCCCTCCTCTGCAACCCAGCCCACAATCCACGTCCAACGTTCCAGACCTCCCCCCTCTCCCCCGCCCCACCTGCAGCTGGTCCTTCACTGCCGCCAGGGACGACCTCAGCGCCTCCGTCAGCTGCCCCGCACTGTACATGCGCTCGGAGCCGGGGGAGGAGGAAGGGACGGGGGCGGAGACGGGGGCGGAGGTGGGAGCAGCGGCGGTTTGCGGGGTGGGGGCGGCAGCGGGGGCAGGGGCAGGAGCAGCCTGGGTTGGGGATGCGGCCTGGGGTGGGGGTGATGATACAGCCGCTGCCGCGGTTGCTGTGGGGCGAGGGGAGGAGCGCTTGGCGTCCGCCCTGCCCTTGGAGAGCGCGGAAAGAGCTGCAACAGCCGCTCCTCGAGAGGGACTCCTGCTGCCGCCGCCATGCGGGGTTGGGCTGTTGAGTGTATCGGAGGAGGAGGTGGGTGCTGGTGCCGCGCCGGCGTTGTCTGAGCTAGGGCCAGCGGCCATGGTCGGCATGTGCTAAGGGATGAAGGGTGGTTGCTGACCCGGGGACCGGCGCCTAGTTTCAAGCAGCCCCGGTCCCCGTTAATCCTGCTCCACTATGTTTCCAGCGCTGGGTGCCTTCGGTGATGGCCTAACGCGCAGTGATGCGCGGCTGAGCTCCGCATGCCTGCTCCTTAGTATGAGGACCCAAATGTTGTGAAGGAAAGCGCAGAGTGTAAGTGGCTGTTAGGAGCTAAATATGAAAGTTGGTTGGACTTTAAAGCACACGCTTCGGAGGACCTATCTAGTCTAAGCGTTTGTTGACTTGAAGTAAGGTAAGGTCTAAATATTTCGTCTACCTACAAGTACATATACAAGCCTTTCTTTGTCCCCCGCTATGCAAGCAATGAACACAGCAGGGCAATTCCAGAACGAGTACCGTACATAGGCCAGGATGCGAACGGTCTGCGATCGCGATACCTTTCCAAACGTAATGTACAATTCCATCCACGCTACAAGTGCAATTGTGTTGTGTTACTTGATTAGATGGGTATGACGAACCCCAGTCGCTGACGTGTCTTCTATTATCAACCACTGGCAACGCCTAGGCACTCCTCAGAAACATAGCGTGTAAACCAGTATGGTGATACGCCAGCTCAAGGCGGCTTCAGGCCGCCAACACCATCGGGGCTGCACGGCGCCAACGGCCTCGTTGCGTTGTAGGGAGGTAGGCTGCGAGCAAGGCAAAACTATCGGTCAATAAAAGCCAATCTTAGCCGCGTTAATACCGTGACGGTAGGCTGCAAGGATATGGTTCCACCTGGCTTTAGCGAGCTTGCAACCGAGCGGACTAACTGCGATACACCATCTGATGAACTTCGCCTTGGACTACCGGCAGAGATTGGATCGCTTATGTCCCGAATCCCTTGCGCTGCGATCCAGGTGCTCCGTGCGCAATGGGCACAATGCCCGCTTGCACCGACGCGACGATCTTACCTTCAGCCGTATCCGCAGCATCAGAGAAGTGCTAGAAGTTCATCTAGACAATCCGACGTGCTATCTTGGCGACGATCCCCTTCCAGCCGCTCCGATGCTACTGCCATCGTCGTCAATGCGGTACCTATCGGCGGTTCAGCTAACAGCAGCGGTGCCGCGTCCACCTCAGCGCCACTGGACCTTCCCCTGCCGCGGCTGCCAGCATCATTTCAGCAACCTTCCTTGCATCAACACCACCTTCAGAAGCTTCCGGCCATCTTGCAGCCATTGCTGGCCGCAGTCCTCACCGCCACCTCCGGTCGACTTGCTTCTCTTCCGCTGCCTCTGCTAGTATGGCTACTACGGGTGCTAGCTGCTACAGATTTGCCGTACTCTACCTCACCTAAGCCATCACTACAGCATCCGTCGTCATCGACGACAACAGCAACAGCATGGTTGCAAGAGGCGTACGGTAGTTTGCTGACGCGGATGCAGGAGCTCACGACGACTCAGGCAGCGCAGGCGTACCTGGTAAGGGTCGGGTGATTCGCGTGACCCAGGTGCCCCTGGGTAGGGGTCAGGTCGGTTTGGTAAGGTGCTAGATCGGTCAGTCAGGTCGGTCTCCGCCTCCTCTCCATAGCTCGTTCCCTACATTATACTGGTAGCATTGATTATCGACAGCTGGCATACATGATGGGGCTTCCTCACACATCTCGTCCTTTCTCTTTACCCACTACACAGGCCATCACCAACCTCCTTGTCCGAGCCGCCGACTGCCAGTGTCAAACAAACACCTCATCGGGTCCCTTGCAGCTGCCCCCGCAGCCCCCATTGGTGCTGCCGCAAGCGGAGCTGCTGCAGGGGCTGCATGCCAAACTGGCCCACTGTGGTGACTACCCAAATGTCGACGACCGCCTGGACCCACGGGTCGCTCTGGCATGCTTGGAAGCTGCCGCCACGCTAGAATCCCCACTGGGACCTCTGCGCTTCAGGCCTAGAAGCAGCAGAGTCGAAGACAGCGAGAATGGCAGGCGCAGAGTGCCGAACGAGCTAAGAGCGCCGTCGCGGTCATCTCAGAGCCAACAGCAACAGCAGTACGACAGCCGCAGTCATTTTGTCGTACATCCTGTCGTACAACAACAACTCCTGTGCATGCCCCAATCAACGGTAGAGGCGCTGTTATGGCGGTCGGTGGGAATGCGGGTACCGCAACCGCATGCGCCTGCTGCTAGCCAGGCTAGCGACGACGCTGCTGTTAATGCTGCTGCTGCTGCTGCTGCGGCGGCGGTGGAAAGTTTGGATGTGGTTTTGTTGCCGCCGCCGGGGGCTGCAGCCGCGGCGGCGCGATGCCTGGTCGCCGCAGCACACCTGGCAAACCCGCCGAGCTCTGCCCTCATAGCGGCGCTTGCAGCAAGGGTTGCTGCCGACGGCAACGGCAGCGGCGGTACGCCGGGCAGCGGCGCGGCCGTCCCATCGCCTCTTCTAGTTGACTCGCTGCTAGCACTCTGCGCTCTGCAAGTGCCGCCACTTCCAACCGCAACAGCCGCTGAGCTGCTCCGTACAATTGAAACGAACCTCGGGTCCATGGATGCCCTACAACTGTCGTACAGCGTAACCGCCGTACAACGGTTAGTGCCTCGCGACATGTCGGCCGCCGTCGTCAGCTTCGCTCGCGGTACGGCAGCGACCGCATTGGCGCGAAGCCTTCCAGATCTGTCGGCATCGCGCCTTGCGGCGGCGATTGCGGCGCTGCCGCCGCCGCTGCTGCGGCCACCGCCGGCGGCGGTGGCGGAGGCGGCACACGCCGTACTCCGCGGCTGCCTAGCCGCAGCCGACAGCGACGATTTGGCTGAGGTTGTACGGCAACTCGATGCCGCTGACGTACTTCCGTCGTACGGTTGGCAAACGGCCCTGGCGGCGGCGATGAGCGAACGGCTCCAGGACCCGGTTGCTGCTGATGCCGTACCATCGCAGGAGCTTAGTAATACGCTGTTTTTGCTGGCGATCCTAAACTATCGGCCCAGCTACAGTTGGACAAGTACGGCGGCCGCGGCGTTACAGCCGAGGCTGCTAACGCTCACGGCAACTCAGCTTACTAATGCCTTTTGGGCGCTTGCCAAATTTGGCTACAGAGTGGAAGGTGCTGCTTCTCCTTCTACTTGGAGTGTTTCTGCCGTCCAAGCGGTCCAGCTACAACTGCCATCGCTACAGCCACACCAGCTAAGCTACTGCCTGGGGTCGCTACAACGATTAGGTTGTTACGTAAGCTCTGCCGTACTGGACGAAATGCTAGCAGCGGCGGCAGAGCAAATGTCGTACTACCCGCCTTCAGACCTTGTGCTGTTGCTGATAACCGTTTGTCGGTTACGGCACGTGCCCAGCTACAGCTTTACGGAAGCGGTTACGGAGCGGTTAAGACCGCACCTGCTCGCGGCATCTGCCGCGGAAGCGGACAAGGATGCGGTTGGGGACAGTGCTGTGCGAAGGGAAGCGGTTGGGGACGTGACGGAATCCGTTGCACCAACGCCGCCGTCGGAGCTCATCATTAGCCCGCTGACGTGTCAGGAGCTGGCTTCCGTGGCTTACGCACTTGCCAAGCTGCACAGCAGACCCGAGGTAAGAAGAAGAGCTGACCTCACCTTGCCCGGGTCCCCTCCCAACATGCAATCCGCTACCCAAACTCACATGTCTCCCAGTCTTTCCTTGACTTGCGGTGTCCCATTTTAACGCGATTTGGGTTCTCCCTGACCCCACTCTCCTTCCTTTGTACACCCTTCCTGCAGTCCGAGTGGATGCGGGTGTTCATGTCCACATGCGAGGCGCGTCTGGCGCATTTCTCAGCTGACCTGCTTGCAACGCTGCTGTGGGCGGTGGGGGAGCTGGGACAGGTCCCCAGCCCCGCCTGGCTCTCCGCCTTCCTGTCGGCCTCGCGTTCGCGACTGTCCGACTTCGCGCCGCCCGATCTGGTTTCGGTGCTCTCTAGTCTGGCGGCGTTACGCTGCGCGCCGCCGGCTGAGTGGCTGGCAGAGGCGCTGACACTGCTGGGGGCGCGAGTGGGGGGGCTAGATGGGGAGGGCGTAACGGCGCTGCTCAAGGTAAGGGGGGACTGGAGCGATGTCACCGGCACGTGTTTCCCTTCCTTGTCCGTACACACTTCTCTGTGTGCCGTGTTCCGTGTTCCTCCATGCAGGCCCTGGTGGACCTTGATGCGCGAGTGAGCAACTCGCAGTGGTATGACGCCCTCTGCGACCAGGTAAGCAGCGGCAGCCGCACGGCACTTTCGTACTAACTATGCGGAGGCCGAGGCAACCTCTTGGCTCCCCTCGCACACACCACTTCCCAGCCGTCCCACACAGCCTTCCCTGCTGCCTCTTTTCTGCTACCTCTCCTACCTCTCTTGCTGCCTCTCCCATTAGTCCCCTCCAGCAGCTTACCCAGTCCTCCCTCCCCTTCCTCGGTTTGGCCCCTCCCCTGCCGTACACAGGTGTACGGCTACCTCCCGCTGCTGCCCCCCCGCTGCCTGGCGGAGCTCCTCACCTCCCTGGCAGCGCTGGGACACACCCCGCAGCCGCCCTGGCTGGCCCGCTGCGCGCAGCAGGTGGCGGCGCGGAGCCTGATGCTACCCCGACGAGAGCAACAGCAGCAGCAGCAGGAGCGGGAGCGGGAGCAGCAGGAGCGGGGAACGCGTGGTCGCCGGCCTGTGGGGAGGGAGGGGGATGCGGGGCAGCAGGTGGGAGGAGGTGCAGCAGGGCAACAGGGGGAGGCAGCGGCGGTACGTCTGGGCAGTGCTGGGGATGGCGATGGCGATGGTGGTGGTGGAGCTGCTGCTGCTGCTGAAACGGTACTTGGCAGCAACAGCAGCAGCAGTGCGGGTGGCTACGGTGGCGGTGGTTACGGCAGCAGTGGGGGTTACGGCAGCATCAGCGGCGGGCTGCTGAGCGAGGGGCAGTTGGAGGCGTGCGTGTGCGGGCTGGTGCAGATGGGAGCTGCTGAGCTGCCGCCGCAGCTGCTGCAGGTGAGCGAGCTAGGGGGGGTCAAGAAGGGGAAACTACCGGTTACCCTGTGACATGTAGGCATAGGCTCTACCGTGCGGGGGTGAGTGGGGGTGTAGCAGGTGGGGACCCCCGCCGTACGGGAGCACGCATGGTCCCTTCATCTTTACGCCGCCTCCCCATCCCATGCCGTACGATTGTTACATTTGTCGTACACTGCAGGCTTTTTTCTCCGTCACGTTACCCTCCTTGGGCGGCGCCTCCCCACAACGCATTACCTCTCTGGTTTCGGCGCTTGCGGGAGCCAAGCCGCCAATAGCCCCGGAACCCACATGGCTAAATGAGGTCGTGCATGCCGTACGCAGCAACCTCCAGTCGTACACTCTCGTACAGCTGGATGCAATCACACGTGCATTGGCGGTGTTTGTGGGTTTGGTTCCGGAGCATGAGGCCGCTCGCAACCTGTTGGCTTATCTTCGTGAATTCTGTTTGTACGGTTAGGCTAGAAAGGCGATACCAGAAATCTTGACTTTGTGTCCAATGAAGGTATTGTCTGCACGTGAGGCGTTGACCTACCACGTTTTTTATGCGCACGTTTACGGTTTATGAGCTATTGCAGCACGCATTTGCTGGGATGTAAGGTTAGAAGGCACCCGTGTCCCCGCGTGTTTGCTGTAACGGCATGTGTCAAACAACAACGTGTGTCAGCAGCGTGAGTCAAATAGCGTAGCAGCAAGTACACTTGCCAAGCCAAAGAAAGCGGCAGAGCTGAACAGACAGACCACGACCACCAGACACAACAAAGGGTTGGGTTATGGCCGAGCAGACCGGCAGTCCCAACCCCAAGGGCACGCACGGGGTTGCCTGTTGGGAGCCCTGGGTTGGCTCCTCGTCGGGCTGCGAAGGTGGCTCGTGAAAACGTTGCCGCTATGGATAAGTGCCCTTAGAAGGAGAGGTGAAATAACAACGGTACAATGGCTGCTCTGCGTTGTGGAACGTTAGTGTCTCCGTTGAGTCGCCTGGGAATTGTAACTGCAATCTATCTCTTTTGCCAAGTTGGTGGGCTACATGCCCTATTAAACAATAGGATGGTTACGCCGACATATCGGATTGCCTGATTGCACTTCGATGGGCCTTAATCATGCCCACTGGAGAGCTAAGTGGCCACGTGAATAGACGTCGATGGAAGGACTGCAACCCCGACACCAGCTATAGACACAGGAAGCAGCGATGACTGTAGAGCCCCCAACGATCAGGGCCCGAAACGCTATGAGCGGGGCCAGTGCGCTTGCATTTGCGTTACAAGGATATGAAAAAACAAATACGGCATTGTACTCGATATGCCCAGGATTGAGTTACCGCTAGAAGCAATCCTTTCTGGTCTTGCCCGCCTACTGACCATCCTAACATAAGCGTATATTCCTTCTTCCTGCCGTACACTGCCATCTTGTCTCCGGCTGCCGTCTGCAAGCGTGCATCATTACACTTGCTAGGACCTCAGCGCGTCGGCCTTTTAAGCTTCCAGCTATCCTCTCCGTTTGTTTGCCTGACCTTGGCGGGCCCAATTATACCTGTCTGTCTAGCACTTCCATAGAATGTACTTTTATTTTCTAGCGACATGACCTGTAGTTCACATTAGCACTACACGGATGGGAGAGCACTGGTGTTGCAAACGACAAGTACTTTGTTGCCCGACGACGAGGGACAGGGGCGACTGCCCTCCCAATGGAAAAAGCTCCGCGCTCTGCCAAAAACGCATCCAGTACTGAGGACGACTGGCTACTGGAGTTCTGGCCGGAACCAGCCACGGCAGACGTTCAGGGCCTTGGTTCCATGCAGCAGCAGCAGCAGCAGCCGGTTGACGCTCCGCAACTGCCGGAGCTCTTACAACAGCAGCAGGGCTTGCAGTTAGGACAGTTTGGACTTCAGCCGCAGGCGGAATACTTACCTGGCCTCGCGTTTGAAGCCTATGGCGGCAAGTCTGGCCTCGGGCTGGGCGGGCTACTACCGGAGCACACCCGAGCCTCCACGGACGGGGCTTCCGCGCTAATGCAGCAGCCATCAGACTTTATGATGCCCATGGGCAACGTCCCGCAACTACTGCCTCAGGGGCTTGGCACCTTGCACCAGCCGAGCTTCCCTGACCTGACGATGAGCGGCGGTTTGGGGATGGCCCCGGGAATGTTGCAGGGACACTACATTCTGCCTCCCCAGCGTGCAGGTAAAACGTAACCTGTGGTATGGTGCTTTGGCAGTGGAATGCATGTGATCTATGCGTTTGCTTGCGTTCGTCGTCAGGATGTTAGCACAGTCATGCGCGCGCTGTATGTCATTAGTAAGTACCTTACTGATAACTACACCCAAATAACAACATAACAACAACAACAACAATTTGTTTCGCTGTATGCAGCTTCAGGACCGTCTAAGAGCCGTTTGCGCTGGACACCAGAGTTGCACAACCGTTTCGTCGCAGCCGTCAACCAGCTGGGCGGACCGGATAAGGCCACTCCGAAAGGCATCCTAAAGCTCATGGGTGTAGACGGCTTAACAATCTACCACATCAAAAGTCACCTCCAGAAATATCGCTTGAATATCCGACTTCCAGGCGACGCACTGCAAGGCGACAGCCAGGATTCCGAGGGTTCGGATGCAGAGGATGCGGCGCCTTCCGCGCCCCTTGAACGCACCATGGAAACGCCACCAACAGCGCTGGGGCCCGCTCCTGCAGCCGGCGCTGCTACTGCTGCTGCAGCCGGCGCTGAGCCAACGTTGTCCAACAACGCAGCAGCAACCGCTCGGCAGGACAGGCGGCTGACAGGGACGACTGGCAGCAGCGGAAGCGCGCCGTCGTCGACTCGTCGCAACCTGGAGGAGGCGCTGCTGTTCCAGATGGAGCTGCAGAAAAAGCTGCATGAACAGCTGGAGGTGCGCGCCTTTACTTCAGCCCGGGTATTCCCATGTACAACCCGTTTTCTTCCGGCAAGCTGAACACATTTTTTTGTGTATTTTGACCTCAACCTTTCTGCGCTTCCTGCGGCCGCAACTCAGTTCCCCTCTGTTCCTTGTCCCTCTCGCACCCTTCAGACGCAACGGCAGCTGCAGCTGAGCCTGGAGGCGCACGGACGCTACATCGCCAGTCTCATGGAGCAGGAGGGCCTCACAAGCAAGCTGCCGGAGCTCACCAGCCCTAGCAGCACAGCCGGTACCTTGGGTGGCAGCGGCGCCGCTGCTGCTGCTGCTGCTGCTGCTGCTGCTGCCGGCAGCGGTGGCGCTGCTGGGGGCGGTAGCAGTGCCGTTGGCGCCGCTGGGCTGCCCAGGTCGGTGTCCTCGGGCGCGCTCGCCGCGCAGCAGCATGCGCAGCTGGTCGCGGGCAACAAACCCAAGGAGCGTGGGGGAAAGGGCGGGTCGCGCATGGGCATGCTACCGACCCATGGGTCTTCGCGGCAGTTGTCAGAGTTGGCCATGGCATCATCGCCGTTGCTTGCTGCCGGTGCTGCTGCTGCTGTCGGCGGCGGTGGCGCTGGAGGCCTCGGGCTGTTGCAACCACAGCAGCAGCAACAACAACTTGTGCAGGGAGCCAAGCCCGCACACTTGCTCGTTGCATCGTCCGGATCCTTCACGTGTACAAACCCCTACCAACCGCATCAACCGCAGCAGCATCAGCAGCAGCACCCGCATCAGCATCAGCACCCGCAACAACAACACCTGCAAGCCCTTCAGCTTCAGCAGCAGCAACAGCAACTCATGCAACAGCAACAGCTACATCATCATCAGCAGCAATGCGTTCGCAGCAGCAGCAGTGGAAGCGGCATGGTTCGCAATCGCTCTAGTCACAGGCTGTCGTCTGCCGCAGGCGGCGGCGGACTCGCGGCCGCCTCCGGACTGCCAAGCAGCATTAGCATGAGCGGCGGGAGTTCCCTTCAGCAGCAGGACCAGCAACGGCACGAGCTCCTGCGTGCCGGCAGGCTCGGGTCGATCCCCGCACCTGGCTCGCCGCCTGCTTCCGAAACCTTTGGCGGCGGCGCCGGCGGTGTTACCACTGGCGGAGGTGCAGTTGCGGACATGGGCGTCGTCGTTGCCGGGGAGCAGCGAGTCCAGGGACGGTTGCCGACATCACCAAATGAGCAAAGCCAAGGTCACGGACCCATGGGTCTGCCGCAACTCGGGAGGGGCTACGGCGTCGTACATCCGCAATCGCCGGGAGCTCTGCAACGACATCGGGAAGCACCGCAGGGGACACTGCAGGGAGGAGGCGGAGGCGGGGTTTCGGAGCCCGGGGGACTTGTAGGCCTAAGCCACCAGCGGGCAGGGACGACGACAGGGGCTGCGGTGGGAGTTGAGACTGGCGGCGGGGCAACGCTGGGGCTGCATGTAGGGCTTGCAGCAGGGGAGTTGCATGCCGGCATGTTGGGGGAAACGGCCGTGGGCGTGGGCCTGGCTCTGCCGGATTTCGACTTTGCAGACTTTGGAGAGCTTGAAAGCGGCGGGTTGGGCGTGCACGGTGACGAGCTGCTAGCCATGCCAGAGCTCGAGGCGGAGGCAGCAGCTGCTTCTGCGGCTGCTGCTGCGGCGGCGGCTGCGGCTGCCTCTCAGCAAGACCGGGACCGGCAGTTACTGCTGCAGCAGCAGCAAGCACAGCAACTGCAGTTACAACAACAGCTGCTTCTACAACAACAGCAACAGCTGATACAGCAGCAGCTACAACAACAGCAGCTTCAGCAGCAGCTACAGCAGCTGCAACGACAACAGCAGCAACAGCAACAACAACGGAACCAGACTGAGGCGGGCGAGGCAATGCGTGTGAAGCGGCAAAAGCTCGATTCCCCGCCTGGCCCTCATGCCTCTTGAGGGTAGGCTACGGGGGTCAGGTGGAGATGCCATGGCGGGGGTTAGGCGGACAAGAAGAACTGGGGGCTAGGAAATGAAAGCTCGTAGGCTTAGACGGCGCGGTGGTAGGATTGGAGGCCGGCACCGATGTTAGGTTGTCGTGCATGCATTGGCATGTTAGAAGACAAAAGGGGAGCCGCTACAAGTGCAGGAGCACTGGTGCTGTGGACGGTTGGGATACGGATCAACATTTCTAGGTTGGGGGGACTGTAATTCGCAACGATTTGACGCGCTAGTAGTATAGTGCTGGTGCTTGGCGCTTTAAGGTCCCGTGCCGATTTCAATTCCAGTAATGCCGGAGGCGGTTTCGGATTTGGTTTTGGTTCTGGTTCGGAATTTGTTTAGGAACCGTTTCTAACAACGAAAGATTTCGCATGGACCTAGCATGCGTTGGCGCAAAACGTCCGATAGGACCTTGAACTAGCGTAAGGTAACACCTAGGAGCAGTTTGGGAACCTACAGTTCGGGTGCTTTGGAGGGCGGGCGTGTTAGGGCTATGTAGCGGTTGGCATGGTAGGTGGTTGTCGGCATTCGCTGCATGGGATGTGTGAACTGCGCTTGCGCTCCGTCCTGAGGATCTGATCTGTTCTCTGGAAAGAAGTGCAGTTTTGTACTATTGTTGTTGGTTACGGTCGTTGCTGGGAGTGTGTCGTGTCTATAGTTCGAGCATGCGAGGCCATTAGTTGTGGTAAGCGAAGGGAGGCTGCGTGCGACTGTTGCTGCTAGCAGCACCACTCGGATTGACCCGACGGGAGTGGCTTAACCACCTGAGCCCTTCTCGTGCATTGGAAGTTGTGGAAAGCAATGTGAATTTCCTTGGCAAGTTAATGGTTGTACGCCGGTATAGTCATAATATCATACCGCCTGTTTCGGATAAGGTCGAGCTGTGGTCCCGGAAGGGTGGTCCTCTGTGGCTTGTGTGTGTGTGTGCCTAGCGTTGTGAGTAACTGCTGCTCCATTCTTTTGCGTAAGCTGTGCTGGGATATCAATGATCAAGGACTTTTAAGGCCTCCCTCCACTGCCCTCCCCTGCTAGGCAGTGCCGCGCATTGAGCTTCCATCTGCTGCATGCAGGCGGGGGCTTTTGGCTGAATGAACACGTAACGCCCGACTGCACGAAAGTGCCCTTCTGCTCTCTTGACGGTCGTCACGGTTTGACAGTCGTCATGACGGCCCGCCAAGCTTTTTAACGGCCTTGACTGACGATCGGGTGTACACTCGCCATTGCGCCGCGTGGTGTCAGCAGGTTTTGGAGCTCTGTCCGAGGTTTCCCTTGCTGCTCTCATGGCAGCGTTCCCATCCCTGCTACGTACGGAAGTCCCATGGTGTTCCATTGGCGTCTTACCTGGCAAAATGAGCCCTCACTTGTGACAGTGGACCCATGCGAGCGGTTTGCCAAGGGGGGTGCTGTTGTTAGGGTTGTATGTCGGGTTGCTTTGTTATGAGCTTCACCGTTTCCAGGCATAGCTGAGCATGCGTACATGTTTAACAGACGTGCTGTTCACGTACCTGCGCCGTGACAGCTGAGTGTGCCGGTGGCGTGGAGGGGTTAGGTAGAGAGGTTGGAAAATGGAAACGAATGACTTGTGTCAACGGTGGAGAGGTTGGAGAATGGAGATGAATGTCTATATGTCTTGTGTCAACGCAACAGGATCTTTTATTAGCGGATTCCAGATGCACGCCCCGTTGGGCGGCTGAAGTGGGGCGAGTGAAGCTGATGTTCGGGGCCACCGTTGCTTGTAAGCGTAAGCCTAGACAGTTGGACAGTTTGAAGTGACAAGCACTATCCCTGCTGAGGGTTCTCCCATCTCCCATCCCAACACCATGCATGGGGTCCCATACATACCAAAGCTCAGGGGAAATTCATCAGCCAGTTACGTCGATGGCGTGGCGGCTGGCTGGTCGTTGGAAACATTTTGCGGTGCATGGCAGTCTTGGCAGAGGTGCACGGGCTGACGCATGCATGGAAGCGGGCCGAGGGTTCGCTATCTGGCATGGGCTGACACGTATACAAGTGGAGGCAGGAGGCATGGTCATACTCCCTTACACATCGGTAAAAAAATTGTTAGGTTACCAATCGCCGTTATCGCCAATGGTGAGGAGATGGCACCCGACGCCAAGCAACGTGGGAGAGGGGATGACCTGCTAGTTGCTTTGCGTGTCGTGACGTTGAACGATTGAGCAGCGCTTACGCAGGGGCACATGCATGCAAGCTACAGCTAACAAGTATGTCCGGTAGGTAGATGTTTGTTACGGGCATCATGTACGGGCAACTTAGCCCTTGAGCCGGTTGTGGTGTAGCCGCCTGGTTAAGCTGGCCAACACATCATGCTGAGCACGTCATGCTGTCGTGTGCTGCGAGTACGCTTACAAGGCGTGTGCGACATTGACGGCGATGTAGCTGATGTCCAGACATATATTGCACGCATTCCAGGGGAAGGTGTGGATTTTGATCGGGAACATGAGCAACATCGCCAATCTATGTCGCACTTCCATCGCCAGCCTAGCTCATGGTCACAACATGTTGCAAACGTATAAAGAAGTAGCCACGGACTAGATATTGCATCGCTGGCAGCGCCAAAGCCCGTGGGCGGCTGGGATGAGGTTGTACGACGCTTGATCGCCCGACACCTGATCATTCCAGCGGCTATCCAACAGGCTAGATAACTTTATTTTCCTATCACTTGTATTCCTTCTATGTAGCGTATCTATGCACCATAGGGCAATCCCGCGCGCAGCGACGATGGAGGATGGAGTCGCTTAGCGCTTCGCCGACGGGCTTAAAAGCTTGAGCGGCAGCTGGGCCGATATGGTGGATATGCACTGGCTTCATACCAGGTATATCCTGTTGAAGGCGTATGTTGTCTAATCATCCTATTGACTGTTCTGTGATCCTTGTCGTGCAAGCTGCGGCCTTCCTTGCAGCAGAGGCGTCTAACACGGTGCTATGGGTCATGGACACCAACCGCACCACCACTTGCTAGCTGCCGCGTCGCGTCCGCCCTGGGACGCGCGAAGCGCATTTGCGTCGTCCAAAGCTGCAAGCGAGTCGCGCCTTTCATAGATTAGTGTTGCTGTGCTTCTTTAATGGACTTATTCGCAATGCACTGACCTTTACTCTTTTTTACGTTTGCAGGCGTATTCACCGCTTCGCGTGGTATTGTCGGCGTTGCATTGAATGTGTGCATGCATCTTGCAAATGCCAGCCAGCTTTCCACGTCGACGCCCTCTGATTTAGTTTCCAAGCTACCGTGCCACATACTTAATTCGCCAGCGGATGTGATCCGTCGGTCTTACGGCAGAGTAGCGTGGCAGCCTACCTGAGCTTGCACCTGGGCAGTGTTACATACATATTTACTGCGCATGTGCAAGGACTGCGGTTCAGCTGCAACTGATTAGAAGGCCAGCTATACGAGCAGCTCGTGTATACATGGTTAAAAACACTTGTGTGTCTAGAACAGCAGTAATCGTATATCTGCCCCATTGATGTTCATTAGCCTGTCACTTCAGCTCAGGCACTGCTGCCTGCCGCATTACCGCCTTTGATACAATGGACAAACGTAGAAAAAGTCCCATTCCTCGCAGTATGGCAGTATTTGGTGTAACTTCGCATGTGCAATTAAGACGAAGCAGCTGCATCTTAATAGGCGCTCAGTTATCCAAACAGCTCAAACGCTACATAGCAATCTTAGCTGCGCAGTGTGCCTAGAACAGCAGAAACTGGACAGAGACTGTTTCATCACTGCAGTTGATACAGTGTGTATACGCTGGTAGATGTAAGATTTGACCCGTTGTCACCCTCCAGACAGTTGGAGGTTTCTTGCTGCCCCGCTGGTAGCCCAACAAATGCACTTAATGTGCACGCGGGGGAACAGGAGGAAGAAACGCAGGGGGAGGGGGGTAAAAGGGGGGACAGGGAGTCCTCTCCCCCCTCAGGGTGATGCGTGCCGCAAATGCTTGGGAGAGGGGGAGTCCCTCCCGCTCAGGCGATATTCATGCACCAAAAAGGAACACCAAAAGAAACAAGGCTACGACGCTCTGGTGGTGCACATGGCGCTTGCATGTGTAGCAATGGATGTCTTGACGCCCGCAACATCAACATCAATGTCGCACTGATGCACTGTCGGCCCCATCTGCGCATTGTCGTCAATCTTAACACCATTGGATAGGGAATTTGAAAACCTACCTCATGGTATTAAATTTTCATACGCAGGCTGCGCCAAAAGCCCAAACGTCTATGCTTTCTGCCGTCCAACTAGATCATTCACCATAACCGGCTAACCATCTACTGCATATCCTAAGCATTTTTCTTCCTGATCACCTCCCTTTCCAACGACTTGAGCACAATCATCCACAGTCAGCCTTATGAGTAACCTACTTACCAACCCATCCCAGCATGCATGCGCTTCCGCATCTTACACCACTTTACTTCCCCCCTGTCACTTCAATCACTTTAGTAACCGCAGCCGCCGCCGGCGGTGGAGGCGGCGCTGGCGACGGTGACGGCGGCGGCACATTCACCTGCTGCACGTTGTTAAGGTTCAGAATGATGGTGGGAGGGGAAGGATTGGCGCGCTTGGGTGGGCGCGCCGGTGGCAGCGGCGGTGGTGCTTCATTGCCACCACCTCCACCGCCTCTAGGACCACCGGCGCCGCCACCACCGCCACCGCCGCCACCAAAATGCTGTGCTATGGCCTCCCGTTTGCGCTCAAGCAGGCTTCCAGCACCGCCTCCACCGCCGCCCCCACCGCCGCCTCCGCTGTTGGGCAGCTCAACGACTTGGGCCTTGAAGTTGGGTTTGTTGACGCTGTAGCTGCACGTAATCTGCGTCGACAGTTGGGAGCAGTTGGCAGTTGAGATGATGACCGGCTATAGCTGCCGAGAGGACGACCATGCAAATCATATAACCGGGAATCGCGCTCTCTACACATGCCAGCCAACGCCAGGTAAGGCGGGCTCCGTGGAAGTTAGTTTCCGTACACGTATATCCACCCACCCGGTAACTACCATGCCTACCCGGTCCGAGCCGCACACTGCTGCTCCGCCCAATAGCATACGTCCTATGAACCTCCGGAGGCCCCGGAGGCCGCCTTTCCCCTCGTCATCATCTCCGGCGCTAGCCACTCCATGCATACTGGATCCGCTATTGTTGACGCTGCTGCCAGGACTGTCCTGTTTACGGCCATCGCTATGGGTGCTGCTGCCAAGGCCCCCATGCCCACCAGCAATGAAGGCGGCAGCAAAGCGGCGCAAGGTGGCGGGCGCTGGTGCTGTGGCCGCTGCTGCTCCACCCCCAGTCCAGGAAGACTGCTGGGACCCGCGAGAGGCCAAGAGGAGGGACGACATCGTCAGCAGGGACAGAGACAGCAGCAGAAGAAGCCCAAGGGTTGTGAGCACGGTTGAGCGGCTGATGCGGCGGCTGGATGAGGACGAGGCGCCTGGGGTGGTGAGACCTGCTGCTGGTCAGGGAAGTACATTAGAAGCAGTACGGCAGTAGCAGGGCGGGGCGTTAGTAAGCGCAGACATCATGGCAGTAATTGTACAGCTGCTGCTGCTTTATTTGCTGGTAAGGAACAAGAAGGAAAGACCGCATCCATGCCTCTCTTCGCAACGCTTTTTGTCATGAGTCACCGTGTCAGCTCTCTGCTTCCCTCCAGGGGAGAGCGTGACGTGCAGGGGAGTACGTATGGGTACCGGTATGCGGTGTGTACAGGAAACGGGTTTCCGATCAAGAACCCTAGCGCACGCTTTCGGGCCACCGTGGCATTATCTGGCCGTGCGCCCGTGCGTTCGCATGACTAAAGTCGCAGTGGGTAACCGAAGCAGCTGACCCGTGTCACCTCGTGTGAACAATTCGACCCGGCAGGCGCACCCGTAGACAGCCTTGTGACGACTTACCTTCACCCTGGCATCTTGATGGGGAGGACGGGTGCAGCGGCGAGAGCAGCCCACCGTCAGCAGGCGCTTCCATCATGGCCACTCCGTTGCTTGTATGTATGTTACTCCAGCTCTTGCAGCTGCCGCCGCTTCTGCTGCTGCTGCTGCTGCTGCTGCACGGCCTGCGCTGGCTCTTGGAGCCGTTTAGCGGTGGAGTGGATGCTGTGGAAGCAGGTAGGTTCTATTACAGCATGACTCCAGCACTGGTGGACGAAGTTCGCACTGAGGTTGCAACAATGCATCTGACTGCTGCAATTGCAGAGCTGCGTTGGGCAGCCGTTGCAAACATGAGGTTGCATGGTAACATACAGCAGCAGGTGCGAGGCCGTTGGACGTGGGAGCGGCCAGACGTGAGGGTCCCTAGGGCACGAGTGCGCCACAAAGAGCCTTCAAACCAACTAACCGTTGCAACCGCCTGTCTAACTACCTGGCAACGAGTGCTGGACTAGGCCGCTAGCTACATCCTCAGTCACTACATCCTCTAAGATATCTGAATATTTCTTTTGCAGAGACCGTTATGTGTTGGGTTCTCAGCAGCAGCGGCGGGGAAAGGCATAACGGGGATGCAAACCATAGATTGCAGCGGGGCGTAAGGTTGCCCTTACAACCGGTATTCGCTTGACTAAATATGGACAGGCCCTGGACAGGCAGGGTTTTGTTGCAAGCGATGCGCCACGGGTAGCTGTATGTTCCGCCCGTCAGGTCTTCATGCTATGTGTTTTGCAAGCTGGGCCGCTAAGCGTTTGGGTCATTATGTAAGGTGCTGCCATGCAGATAGACACCTTGGCCTAAGCCCTGCCTGTTTTGTTGTTTGAATTACCGTATCCAAGAGCGTACATGTGCAATCACGGCAAACGCTTGTCGTGCTTGCACAAATACGCTCTTGGATACGGTAATTCACAGAGGCTTGCTGAGAAAGAAACCGGATAGCACTGCACGCACTTATGGAGCACGCATGCATGCGCTCGCGTGGCACTGTACCTAGTGACAGTGACCGGCAAGGGAACCGGCATGCTTCAATAGTAAGCTAACAGTCACGCACAGGCGCGCTTCACTACATATGCCTGCTGCAATACGCCACAGGCGCGCAAGCTATCTATCTCCCTGCTAACAAATAGTCAGCGACAATGGTCTAAACAGGCTCACTGCTTTCCCGCACACCCCAATCCCACAAACCAAGCATCCTTCGACGCTTGCACCAACCCATTAGGCGACACAGCTGGCGCACAAAGAAATGAGGGCGTGGGCCACTTTAAATATCAGCACACTGCTGGATGACCCATGGGTCGTCCACAGACGCGTCAACGAACTGCACCTGTCAACGATAGCCGTGGGTCTAGGTTACACCCCTTGATGACCTATGGGTCAGCCGTGACAGATACCCCGTTGTAGTCTGTCCTGCAAGCAATACGTTACTCCTCCGCCGGTTATATTTAAGCACAAGCCAATCTTCCCCACACCACCCTGCAACCCTAAGTACCAAAACACTCATACACCTTTCTTTTCCAAGCGAATTTGTCATCGCGCCTGGGAGTGTTACGGTCCCCTTGGAGGCTTGCAGGAGTAGTTAAGAGGTACGTGTCTGCATTGTGTGTTGTAGTGAGTAGCTTAGCTTCATGTGCCCTGGTAGGTGCCGTGCCTCCCCATGCTGCCACCCGCATCATCCTGTGGACTTGTAGCTACTTGTAATCAGCGCATCATTGGGTATCACGTGGTACGCACATATGCACACTAACTAAACACATGCACCGGCCGCATACTGCTCCGCCCGGGCTGCAGTACTCTTCAATCCTTTTGATGCCCGAGTGAAGTGAAATTAAGGCCTTAACCCTCGTAGGCCACCTCCTCCCACCTCCTCCCACGTCCCACCTCACTTGCACAGGGTAGCCTTCATTCGCGAGTGACGGATACTGGGGCCATGGGCTCGTACGACAAATTACGTCGCCCCGCGCAAGCGCTTCTAGCGTTTGCAGTGGCGGTTGTAGCTCTGTCTGCGGCAACCACCTTTGCCGTACCTACTGCATCAGCAGCGGAGCCGGCTGCTCGCAAGACCGGTGGGTTGCAAGTCCGATGGTGCAGTACTAAGCCGCCACCCAGCCATGTTGGAGATAGACAGACTCTTTCCATACTTTCTGCTCAAGACCTATAACCATGTACCCCTTGCCGCGTACATAACACTGCCGTACTGTTCGTCAGATGAACCTTGGCGACAGGATATGCCCTGATCTGATGATGCCACAATTAACTTCTGTCCTTTATTGCCCAACAGCGTCCATTCCGCCGCGCCTTGACCTCTGCCGGTTCCTTCCCCATATATACACGTGTGCCTGTCCCAACCCAACCCATTACAGGCACGGCCGCCATTACAGATGAAGTAGCACTGCCCGCACCTGCAGCAAAGCCGGCCGATACGGCGGCTGCCCAGCACGATTCGAACAAGCGGCATCTGCTGTCAGGCTGCACTCTGCCAGGGGTAAGTCCCACGCGTGCTGCGCTTTCACGCTATCGGCTATGACCCTCACAGTTGAACTATGGACTTCACGTGCATGGGTTGATATGAGGGGTTATCGTAACGAGGAGTTATCGCTGATGCGTCATGCGCTCAGCACACTTTGTGTGGTGTCCTGTCCTTCACATTTTGGGCCCTCTAACTGTATCCCAACCGTTTCCCTTACCGCAGGCGACATGCACATACACGGCTTCACATGGCAACAGTCAGTTCAAGTGGGCCCGTAACGGCCCACCCCTCGGTGGCGGCGGTGGCGGCGGCAAGAGCTCCGGCGGCGGCAAGAGCAGTGGCGGCGGCGGCGGCAGCAGCGGTGGTGCGCCGCCTCCGCGTCCCATGCAGGCCAAGCCGACCACCATTGTCCTGAACATCAACAATCTCAACAGCGGCGGCAAGAACACTAGCAGGGGTGTTAGCGGCGGTGGTGGCGGTAGCATTGGTGTCGGCGGTGGCAAAAGCCTCAGTGCCAATGCGGGCATCGATGTTGGAGGCGGCGGTGGTGGCGGAAATGTCGGCGGCAACTATGATGTAAACTTGGGCGGCAACGTTGGCGGCGGTATCGGGCGTTGATGAATGGAAAAGAAGGTCGCTCCTTAGATGTCATCTTTTGCGCAGAGCGAGAAGGGATAAGTACGTTACCTTGTGCATGATGATGAACATGGATTGGAAGTGCGTGCACGAAATGAACGATTTTCGTTTGCTGCTTACATGCGGTGCATGAAGTTAGCTAGGGCGGTTGTCGTACTTACCGGTACTGTTGATCAATAACGGACGGCAGAATGTGGTACACATGTAGTGCATGGTTCTTGGAGGTCACAGCTAGATAGCCTTTCCTTGAGGCGGCTGTCCAGATACTGCCTGCGATAACCGCTTCACCATGCCCCCCTAATGAGACCCGCCGACCTGAATCATTCCAGGCATGTTGCTTATGAGATGCTAAAGGCCTCGTTATCCAATGCTGCTGTAGGTCTTGGTATCCAATGCTAACAAACTCTGGGTCTGGGCATGCTCGATGTAACTGTTAAGAAATACCTGTACCTTCTTGCCTTGACCTTTGCCTCAGTAATGCGCAAAGTCCGAGGGGTTGGGGCAGTATGCATAGGCGTTGGCCCCAACTATTACTCGTGTAAGCGTTGTCCCGTTCGAGGACCAATGCGTGCCAAAGTAGTCGACACGCGGGTGGTGAGACCAAGTTAACGAGCGACGAGGGGGGTTCCGACGCTGTTAGTCTCTCGGTAGGTGTCAACCGGGCCTAACACGGTGAACAATGTGGATAGCGTAGCAGTCGGGCGACGGGGGGAAGAGGGAGGCAGAAGGGTGCTGATTGGTGCTGAGGAAGCGTGTAGATAGGCAATGCCGTGATGGGTCGTGGCGTGTTGTTGGAAAGGCCCGCATGCCTGCTTAGGGCTATAACGCAACCTTCCGTATGCTAGGCGTGTGAGAATTGAAGAAGGATGAGCGCTGATGACACGGGTGTGCTGGCAGGCTTTGTGGGCGAACGAGATACACCTTGGGTCATGTTGGCTGGCACGTATCAAAATGTACATCAGAGTTGTGTGCGATATCAGCACCGCAGGATTAGGTCTCACACCGCCGTGTTCGTAAATACCAACCAAATGATCCGACGAGCGTAACCTTCGAGATACCTAACTATTGTGTCCGAGTCTATACCCAACTGAGTGTACAAGTTCGCTGTATGCATGTACGATTATAACCAGCAGCAGACACAAGGTTACCCGCCAGACTGCACATCTGCAGGCAGCTTCACATTGCCATCCCTTCAGTTGCACTTCCGTAAAGCCCTTCTGGCTTACACCTATCAGCGCAACACAGCTAGCCCAAACCCTACTTTATCAACAGCCCAGCATCAACAAATGCATGCATGTGAGTGGCAGTCTGAAGCTGCTACCCCGAGAACACCTGCCTAAACTAGACACTGTCTTATCTCTCTCCATGCCCACGACTCCTGCATAAGTTCTGACAGCCAACAGCATCTCACAAACCACACCTGCCACACATACGATACATTTCCACTTCGCTATCTTGCAAAACTGCCACAACTATCTTTTCCCTACTGTCGGGTTTTCCGAAGGGCAAGGCGGCCCCTGCGCTCTGGCTGCCTCGCCACCCCAACGTGCTGCTGCCGCGGCTGCTGCTCTGCCTGCGGCTGCCCTGCCTGCTGCTGCTTTTCGTCACCCTGCTTATCACTCTGCTCCTGCTGCTTAATATGCTCCACCTGCTGAGGTTGTAGCCCTGCCACTTGCTCCTGCTGCTCCTCCTGCCGAGACAACGACTGCTTCTGCTGGTCCAACGTTTCTCCTCCCAGCCGCTGCAATAAGCAACCGGCATCCACCGGGGCATCAGAAACCCCAGAACAGCCACTCTCTTCATGCTGCGATGGCGAGGGCGATGACGGCGGCGAAGGTGACGGCGGCGGTACTAGGTGAAGAAGACCCACTGCGAAAGGTCCGCCAGTAGCCGCGGCAGAAGCGGCGGCAGCCTCACGTTCAACTTCGCCGCCGCCGTCACCTGAGGCATCGCGACGACCACCAGCAGCGCCCAACCCAGAGGTTACCGCAGCCCTGGCGTCGCCGCCGCCGCCGCCACCGCGGCTACTGCCGCTATGCCGGCCCTCCTCCACACGGTGACGGAGGCGACCCGTCCAGGACCGCTTGCCGCCACCGACGCCGCCGCCGTCGTTTCCGTCAACGGCGGCAGCGGTGGCGCCTGCGGGAGCGCCGCTGACGTCAGCATCGTGGCCGGCGCCGCCGGTGTCATGGTTGCCGCCGTTGCCATCGCCGCCAGCGTTGGCTGAAGACGGTGGCGACAAGGCGGCAGCGGCACCGGCTGCCAACGGCGGCGGTGGCGAAGCCGCCGTACCGCCAACACTAGGCCCGTCATCCTGTGCACGAGCGACGAGCCCCTCCTTCCGCTCTAGCGCTGCATTCGTCCCTTCATGCTTGACCGCGGCACCCTCTGCATGCGCATCAGCCTCATCACCATCACTACTCGCCAAGTCAACTACCTCAGGAAGCAGTGCCGCCACGGCAGCGGCGCCCTCCTTGTCGTACCGTACGGCAGCGTCGTTGTCGTCGTACAACACATCGCCCGCCACTAACCGCTCCGCTGTTGCCGCTGGCGCTGTTGCCGCTGCTACTGTCATGCCGGCTCCGTCAGACGCTCCCTCCGCTGCGCCCGAAGTCTCCGGCCTCCGCCGGGGCTGCTGCGCAGCAGCACGAGGCCCGTCGCCTCCGTCCGCAACGGGGCCTCCGCCGCCGCCGTCACCTGAGGAGGAGCCCTCCTCCAAAAGCTTAAACTCCCACACGTTGTCATCAGCATCTTCAATGCCCACCAGGTCTGCGTTCTTCGCTGCCTTGACGCCCCGCCCGCCGCGACCGCCGGCACCTCCGCCGCCTCTGGCCCGCTTAACACCCTTCTTGCCATTTCCCAAGCCGGCAACCGCGGCAGCTGCGGCAGCAACGTCCGTACGAGCCCGCCCCGCCTTCGCCACCGCCGCCGGCGGTGGCGGCAGCGGCGGCGTCCTCGAGGGGCTATCATCCGACGTATCAATATATGCCGCCGCGCGGCTAGCGACGCCGCGACGTCGCTTATGTACCGGTACGACTGCCGCCGAACCCGCGTTTCCGCCGCCGCCGCCAGCACCTTTGCGCTTGTTCGGCAGCGGCGGCAGGCCGCCTGAGCCGCCGCCCAAGAAGGAGCGGATGTCGCGCGTCCCCAGCCTCCGCTGCGCTCGTTCCGCCGCTCGTTGCTTGCACTGCGCCTTGGTGACGTCGGCATGGCAGGCCACACACAGGGTCCGCATGTTGTCGACGTCGCAGAGGCCGCCGCCCGCGTAGACGGGGGTGATGTGGTCTGCCTGCCAGGCTAGACCCTCGGAGGCCTGTGGGAGGTAGGAGAAGTGGGAGAGGTTGGGTGCGTGTGCGGCAACGCCCCAGTGAACGGTTGATGTCTCAGCATCAAACGACACGTCGGGCTATCCGTCTATGGCTACTGCCTCATTGTAAGCTCCTGCGAAAGCTTGAGTGACAGCGGGGTCCAGCCCCGCATGCACGCCAGAACCAGCTCCCGCTCCCCACACAGCTCCCCGCCACCCCACCTGCCGCAGCAGCCTCTCCAGCAGGGCGGTGTAGCCGTGGTGCGTGAGGCGCGGGGCCAGCCGCTCCACCACCGCCCGCCGCTTGGCCAGGTAGTCCCGGGATGTGGTGCGGATGGTCTGTTGGGGGAGAGGAGAGGAGGAGAAGGGGGCGGTGAGGAGGAGAGGACGAGGTGAACGTGAAAGTGCGGGGGGTGAAGACGTGCGTGAGGTGTTGTAGAACGGAGTGGAAACGCAGGTACTACAGCAGTAAAGGTACAATGCAGTTGGGCATGGAAAACATATGAGAAAGAAAGTAAGAACGAACACAAACTTGGAAACCAACATGTCTCACCTGCAGCTGTCGTACCAGGTTGGCGCAGTCCAGCCCGCACATCTGGCACACGCCGTGCTCCAGCCGGGCTAGCGTGCGGCGCAGCGCGCTGCCAGAGGCCTGCGAGGGAGGGCATGTGACATGGCTTTGAAGAGTCGGTGCCACTGCCATGCTGCCTTGACTGCGTTGTCCTCTCCCCCCCCCGCAGCATGGTTCTCTGCGCCCTTCAGACGCCAGCCACCAACCCAACCCAGCCCCTTCGTTCGCCCTTGCCTCTCACAAGTTCATACCTTGACGTAGTAGCGGGTCTCGCAGGCGGGGTCGCAGAAGAGGTAGTCCGTGTTGTCCAGGTGGGAGGCGGGAGGCAGGCTGCAGTCCGGAACCGGTTTCGAGCAGTTGAGGCACAGCCGGCTGCCGTCCGACATGAAGGCCTGCTGGTAGGTCCGCCAACCGCATGGGGCGCCGCCGGCACCGTTGTTGTGACCGTTGCCGTTACCGCCGTTACCGTTAGCAGCAGCTGCACCTGCGCCGCCGCCGCCGTTGCTGCCACTGGAAAACTTGGAATCACAACGCACCTGGGGAGAGAAAAGAAAACAAGTGGCACGGATTCAACTTGGAAACGCACCACATGAAAGATTAGTTCACAGCGTGTGGGTGCACACAACTACTAGATCAGTAGCCGAGAAGATAGATGATGGGGTGATCCCCGACTTTCCGCTTACCTGAACAGGACGCAACGTGGCGCCTTCAGGGACCTTCATCGGCGCGTCCTGCACGTACCGTGCCGTGCTGCTGCCGTATGCCCCTGCCGCAATCGCCTCGCTCGTCACCGCATCCAACGCCTCCTGGAAGTAACGCTCGAGTACGGCGCCGTACAAACGGTTCTTTGACACGGCCCTGAGCTCCCGCCAGTCCCGAGCAAAGGCGGCCGCCTCCGCTACCCCCTCCGACAGCTGCGAGGGAGCGAGATACGGCAGCGGCGCGACAAGACCCACAGGGCCCACGAAGCTCAGCTGAGCTGCTAGGGCGTCCTCATCGTTGTTGTTTTCAGTGGCGGGTGCGATGGCAGCTTGGACGGATGGAGACGCCTGCAGGGCCAGTGCATCCTTCCCTGTAGTGTCCTTCGCCCCTGCTGCTGCCCCCAGGTCTCGTTCAAGTACGGATGCTGCTGCATTGCCGACGGCACCCCCCGCCTGCGCCAGCTGAGTAACGGCAGCAGCAGGCGGCTCGGAAGGTGTCGTACCTTGGCGCTGTACGGCAACCCCTCCGCCGGAAACCACACAACCAGCATCGGTGGGGCCTTGCGGCTCGGCGGCTTGCGGCACCCGAGGCGACTCAGCAGGCGACAGCGGCAGTGGCAGCGGCAGCGGTAGCGACGGCAACGGAAGCTGCTCTTGTTGCTGCTGCTGCTGCTGTGCTGCATTCCGCGCCGCAGCCGCAATTGCTGCGACTCCTGCCCGTCTCCACCTGCGTCATAAAGGCCCTAACGTCACCATATGCGTCACTTCGTCCCAGTCACACCAGCACATCCAGGCCTTGATCGTCAAACAACCCTCCGCGATCAAGACGGACAAGCCGAAAGTTGGGACACGCCCCAACCCACCTTTTGGCGTGCTCCTCCAGGATGCCCCGCAGCATGGCGCTGCCGGGATGCGCCAGCAGCAGCTCCAGGGGAAGGGACAGACCCGCGGGTCGGCTGCCGTCGGGCGCCAGGTGCAGGTGCACTCGGCCCGTGTGGCAGCTCACCTGAGGGTGGGGACATGTTCAAGCCAGCACGGATGCACGCCACCTATCCATTGGAGGCAACTGGATTGCACGACGCCGACCCTTCCACCGCCCAGCCTGCACGTCACGTACACCTCAGCCGTCCCAGTTGCCCCACCCGCTCTTCAACAGGCAACGCACATAATAACAAGGGTGTTGCAGCACCAAGTCAGCCCACGCACCTCAAAGTAAAAGGTCATCGAGGGCGGAAGCATCTGCAGCAGCGCCGACCGACTGGGCGTGACCGACCCAGGGGTCAGTGGGGCCGCGCGGGACGGCGGCGGAGTCAGCAGCAGTTGCTGCGGCTGCTGTCCCTGTGGTGAAACTGTCTTCTTCTTATGCGGTGAAGACGTATCCTTCTGATGCAGCAAGTGCTTAGCCGGCGTGCGCTCTGGACATAGCTGCTGCTGCGTTTGAGAGCCGCCGCCGCCGTCACGAGGCATGTCGCCCGTTTCACCCTCTGACGCCTCAGCGGCCACCGCAGTCTCCGCAATCTCCTTGCGACCTGCTGCTGCTCCTGCGCCGCTGCATCCTCCTGCTCCATCACCACCACCCTCACACACTTCACGGCTGCTGTCCTCTTCCGCCTGCTCCTCCTGGAATGCTGGCCCCTCTGCCGACAAGTCAATCACATCTGCCGGCCGCAACGCTCCCTCCGCCTCCCTGCCAGCGGCAACCCCGGACCCCGCCTTAGCACCCTCAGCCACCGCTTCTGCGGAATCCGACGCGGCTGCCGCTTGAGGGCCGGGATGCGGGCTGCCGCTTGCTGGGACATCGCCCGCAGCCTCAGCAGAAGAATCCGCGGTGACAACGGTGGTGGCAGCAGCAGCAGCAGCAGCAGCAGCAGTGTCATCCTCTGCTGAGCGCGTGGCTGCGGCATTCACCTCCCCATCCTTTGCGGCATCTCCCCCTTCCTTCCTGGCCTCCTCCTCCTCCACCTCTTGCTGCTCCTCCAAATCCACAACGGCATCAACCGCCAGACCCCTTACAGGCCGATGTACGGCACCGCCGCCAGCAGCAGCACCGCCATGACCACCGTCAGCGCCCCCGCCGCCCTCCGCTGCTGCAGCTCCGCCGTGACCTCCCTCAGCAGCGGCCGATCCGTCGTGCACCTGCAGAAGATACCACACAAGTACACATTGCAGTACCTTTTACATCGGTAACACGTAGCATTAAGGTCGGTAGGAGGGGTTCTAAACGACGCCCCAAACGGCCGTCTGACGTGCGGCTGACCACCCCAGGCATCCCGCACTGCACAAGCCAAGCACCCAGGCACTCATGCAACCAGGCACGCAGGCAGCCAGTTACCGGGGCAACCAGGCGCCCAGGTGCGATGCAGCCTCCCGCCCCCCCCCCCCCCCCCCCCCCCACCTGAGTGAGGTTATTGAGGGACTCGTTGAGCTTCTGCCACCTGCCGGGAGTGGGAGGGAGGGCGAGAGAGCGGGAGAGAAAGGAAGGAGGAAATGGAGGTTGGAAACGGAGAGGGAGAAACGTGGGAAAGGATGCCGGGTACAGACATAGAGAAAAGTGGTAAGGGATGTTGGCATGCATGCCGGGGCAACTGATGCTGGCCCCTTTCCCTTTTTCCCCTGCCAGCCCATCTTTCCCTTCTCTAACCCCCTCACGTCCCCATCTCCACACGGTTAGCCGCTTCCTCTTTACCCTCCGCTCACCTCTTATCATCGCATGTGCCCTTCGCACACAGGAAGTACACGTTGACACAGTTGTGCGCCTGGCCCTTGCGGTGCGCTCGGTCCTCCGCCTGCTGTAACAGCGACACCTGGGAGGGGGACAGGAGGGGGGATGGGGATTCGGGCGGGGGCCAGGAGGGAACGGTGTGATGACTTAAAGGCTGTTGGGATGTGTCTAGTTGAGGGCAAAAAGAAGCGTGGCGTACAGAAGTGGCGCCGGGTGCAGGTAAGAAACAAGCGCAGCCTGGCAGCGGGGTAGACGCCAACTATCCCGCAAACCATGCCTCCCACACCCCTCGCCCCTCACCCGTCCCTCACCCCTCACCCCTCTGCCCTACCTCATTGGGCAGCTCCACAAACACCACGGCAGCCGCCGCACTGAAGTCCAGACCCACTGCCGCGGCGGTGATGGAGAGCAGCGCCACCCGCACGCTGGGGTCGTCACTGAGGGGGGGGGGGGCAGGGGTAGGGGCGGGACCGGTGGGGTGGGTGGGGAGGGAGCGGTGCGGGGAGGAGGGGGTTGGAGATGAAGAGATGCACAGGGAAGAAGGGGAAAGATGTGTAGAGGGAAGAACTCCAGTGGTGCGGGTTGTGGCTTGCAGTAGACGTAGAGGGCGAAGAGACGTAGAGGCTACAGAATTTCGTTGTTCGTTAGGGTATGTTCAACTGCCCGCTTCAGATGAACAGAATCTTGATCTGGTCTCTCTGATCAAGACGTGAGGTTGGCCCTGGGTGGGCCGGTTTGTACCCGTGGACTGCCCCAAACCAACACGCTTCTTTCCTCTCACCGGAACTGCATCACCGCATTGCGCCGCTCTGCGCTGTCGTGGCTGCCGTCAATACGCACGTAGTTGACTCCCTGCCACACAGCGCCCCCGCCGCCGCTGCCACTGCCGCCTCCGCCGCCTCCGTCTTCATCGTCGCCTCCGCCACCTCCTTCAGCGCCGTCAAAGCCCTGTAAGGCCTCCGCCAAACGATCCATCACGTCCCTACAGGGGTGTGTCCCAATGTGTTTCTAAGTGCTCCCATGTGTTTAAACAAAGTAAAGCGGACCAGCAGCTGTCAAGCCCGCATTAACGATAACAATCGAACAAGCAGTCTAGCGTGTCGCTTTGGGGCTCTAATTTAAGGGGCCCCACGTCAGTCTCACCCATGCACTGCTCCAAAGAACAGGTGCACGGACCCCCAGTTCAATCGCACCTGTGGTGGGCAAAGACCAGGAACTTGGGCGGCTGCTCGGAAGGTGGCGACAGCCCGCTGCCACCACCACCTGCGCTGCCCTCGCCAGCTGCTCCCGGTGGGGCCCCCTGCTGAGCATCACTACCGCCGGCGGCAGTGACTGCATTCCTCGCGTTCGCTGCAGCGGCGGCGGAGGGCGCCTCGTCCCGCGGTGATGCGTGCCGCTTGGAACGCCCGCCCCTGCGAGGAGCAGGAAGGCGTGGGCTGCAGCGTGGGTGCTTGGACTCAGGGATCCGGGTGCGGAATACCCAAACCCATGTGACACCGAAGCCAAACGCCCGACCCAAACTCGCGAGCAGGCACCAGCGTCTCCTTCGGGTCGCATCCTGACAATTCGCGCACACTCATGCAACTTTGTCGGTCGCTACCTACGCAAGCACAACAACAGCATCTACGACCGCTGCCGCCTGCTTCCAGGATTACGGCTTAAAGGAACCAGACAAGCAACAATCGCCGTTCGCGAACGCACCTGCCGCTGCCGCCCTCCTGCGCCACACCCGCACCTCCCAGCGCCCCAATTAGCCAGCTGATCGCGTCAGGCAGCTTGGCGAGTGCCGTACGATGCGCGCTAGACATGGCGGGAGGAGCTGGGGGAGCAGCCGTGGCAGCTGTGGCAGCTGGGGGACCCGCGCTGCCGTCGCCACCGCCTCCGGCCCCGGCGCCTCCCCGCTTCGCAGCAGCAGGACCTGAGACAGGAGTGGTTGCAACACGGCAAGACGTTAGGGGCAGTTGCGCCAACTTCCTGGGCCGGCAGGAACTGTACGAGCGGAATTTCATCCGCATGTACTCACCCTCCTCGTCCGTATCAGGCCGGTCGTCCTCAGACCCTTCCTCCTCCTCCTCCTCCTCTACGCGCCGTCCTCCGTCGCCACCGCCGTCCTCGTCGCCGCTGTCACTGCCGCTGTCACCAACGCCGCCACCTCCGCCACTCGAGCTCTTGCCAACACGTCCTTTTGCGGTGCCCTGCTTCGCTCGCTTCGCCGGTCGGCCCCGGGTCCCCGCCTTGCGCTGGCCTCCGCCGGCGCCGCCGCCCTCATTGTCACCTTTGTTGCACGTTGCGCTCGCCCGATTGCTGTCCCCGCTCGCGCCAGCGTCATCGACAGCAGGTGCAGCAGCATCTGCAGTTGGCGGCTTGTTCGGCTCGTCCGGCCAACTGCGATGCATGGAGACCCATGTGTCAGCTGGCTGCATTGGTTGCATTGGTTGCATTGCAAGACTGTATCCCCTGCAACGCCCTTCTAACATCGACCGCAGCGCTTGCGTGCACGTCGCATTAGTATCAAAAACCATCCATTCACACCCATTGTAAGACACACCTTTTAGGGTACGGCAGCCGTATGACCTGCCTCCGCTTGGGCGGCAGTTGCGCCATGATGTCCCTCTTCAGGCGGCGAATCATGACCTCCCGCGTCAGCAGCCCGTGAAGCTCGACCAGCCGACTGCCACCCGACGTCTCCAGTCGCTTCCGGGCGGGCATCAGCGGCCCCATACTGGGCGCCTCCTGCTTGCGTGCCGCGGAGCTGGGCATGTTGCGGAAGGGCACCATGCGGCCGTCGCAGTAGCGGAAGGCGAAGGCCTGCTTGCTGCTGCCGATGAGACCGGGCTGCAGGGCGTCAACCTGTGTCGGGAGAGAGAAGGGAAGGAAAGGGAAGAAAACAAGGCAGGCAAGTAAGAATGAAACGAGACGCCACTCGCGGATTTGTGACTGATGGTACAAACTTGCAACCTTTCAAGCGAAAGAACCGCCTGATGCCACCCCCTCTCACGCTGTCAAAGCCGCTTTCCGGTCTTGCACACACCGCTCCCCGTGCCCTTTCCCACGCCCCATAACCACGCAGCCCGTCCCCCAGCAGCCATCCCACGTACCTGCCGGAAGAGGTCGTACGGCCTAGACAGGCTGGGCGTGCCGGACAGCAGTACGGCCCTGCGCGTCCTGGCGACCGCAGCGATGCAGGCCTCCGTGTGGGGGCTGTCCGCGTCGCGGCTGTTGGTTGTGCGCAGGTTGTGGGACTCGTCCACGATAACCATGCCCCAGGGCATCGCAGCCATGCAGCGGTCTGCGGCGAATCAGGGGTGTTTTAAAACGGAACGAGAACCGAGTTTCGGAGCGAACCGGGAACCGGGTTTCGGAGCGAGGCAGCGTGTGAGGGGCTGAGGACCGATGGCCGTAAGGAAGATGGCCACTGGCCTGGTTACCGGTACGACAGAAGACAGTTACAAACAGGAGCAGTGATAGCTATGGTACTCTGCTAGGCATACATGTGCATGCAACATGGGGTGACGAAGCCTCATGCCTCAACCATGCATGCGGCCTCACCGGGTCCCCAGCATACTGCCTTGCCGCCGCCACCACCACCACCAGCAACGCTCCGCCCGCCCGCAACACCGTCAGCTGCGGAGGCGCTGCCCTTCCCGGCAGTCTTATCCCCCTTATCTACCGCTGCTGGCGGCGGTGGCGGTGCCAGCCGGATCTTGGAACAGGCGGGACATGTGAGGCGGCGCATCATCTCGTAGCTGGTGATGGTGATGCGGGGAAGCGCCTGCGGGGGCGGGCGGCATGGCGGGGTGAGGCGGTGTAATCGTGTAACGAAGGGAAAGAATGGTTGCAAACCTTTTTCACGCATGAGCCATTTACGTCACAGTACGTAAGCCACCTCGCGGCTCGGTACCAGGCGCAAATGAGGATGATGCATGTAGCAGAGTGAGAGGATCTGCGCATCGGCCCCCGCTCTAGATAACCTTCCACCCACCTGGCCTCTCGCCACTCGGCCAGTTAGGCGGTTGGCCTTGCCCTCGATGACATGGATGTGGCTGGGCCTGCAGGTGCAGAAGCCAGGTGAGGACATGGTCAAGCGTATGACCAGGGGATTTGGGAGATTGTACTCTTCTCGTAACGCCCGCCCGAAGCACAGGAATCCCAAGGCATGCGGGTGAGATCCTCATCACTTTCCTCGTCTTTTCTTTTTCCCAAGCAATGCACGTCCTCTTCCCGGCAAACAACACTCACAAACGCACAGGACTAGTAACCCAAGTAGTGATCACACAAACCGCGAACCCCACCTGATGTGCGGCAGCCACTTCTCCAGCTCCTCCGCCCACACCAGCCGCAGACTCGCGGGCACGATACACAGCAGCGGCCACTCCTCCTCGTAGCACGACGCCAGCGCAATCGCCTGCACCGTCTTGCCCACCCCCATCTCGTCTGCAATCAGGCAGCGGCCGCCCCGCGCCAGCCCAAACTCCACGCCCTGCCGCTGGAAGGGCATGAGCGCGGTCCGCAGGGAGGGAGGCATGCGCTGCAGGCGGGCGGAGATGTCGTCGGGGGAGGCACGCGGGCGGAACTGGCCCCTGTTGGGTTGGGTAGATGAATGGATGACCGGGAGGTCAGAGGGAAAGGGAAGAGTGAAGGGAAATGGGGTAGAGTCAGGTGGAGAGCGGGGAATCGGGAGGCACGATGAAGGGACCCCATAAACCGGGGTAGCGAGGAGGATTCGGAGGTAAACTCCTCCCTAGACATGCACAAGCCGCGGCATGCCAAAACCTGATCCCCGCAGTCGCCCAAGGCCCTTGTACGTTACCTGTACGCCAGGCGCACCGGCTCCGGTATGCGTGAGCCCGCGTTGAAGAGGCTGCAGTGCGGCGGCAGGGGAGCCAGCAGCCGCTCGTAGCAGGACAGCGGGAAGTAGAGCGCGGGGTCCTGCAGGGAGCAGGGACCGTAGTTCAGTGGTGATGTCAAGACATACGTGTTTGGAACGGGAAAGGAGGGGCTGGTTCGGAATATCCGCTGGAGAGAGAAAGGTTGCTCTGGGCGTCCGAATTGCAGGTGAGGTTCTCATGCACCCGTAACAAGCCAGCCGGTTCCTTCCGAGCGTGCATCGTCGATCTGTCAAAACTGACGCCTAATACTACGTCACCCGTGACAGCCGGCTACAAGGCTCTGAAACGACCCCTCCCCACACCTACATCCAGGTCTCCACCCGCGTCCAGAGGCGCCCCCTCAGCTGCTGCTTCCGAGGCAGTCGCAGCCCCTCCAGCCGCAACCACCGCGAGCGCTGCAGCATTGCTTACAGCAGCGTCAGGGGCGGCTGCAGCGCCAGAACCACCTCCTGTTGGGGGAGCCGTGGTAGCGCCGTGACCGGCAGCAGCAGTAGCAGGAGTGCTGGCGTCCGCAACAGCGCTAGCGCGCATGAGCCTCCTGGCCTCCTCGCGAGTGAGGGCGGGGCTGAGGTCGAGCCCGGCTCCCGCCATCACGCAGGCGACGCCGCCCCCCGCAGCCACCGCGTCCTCAGCTCCAGGGAAGGGCATGACCTGCGACCCATGGGTCAGCGTCAGGACCACCATTGCATACATGCTTGAAGCACACGAAGGAAAGGTCACAACACAGTGACCCATGGGTCGAACGGGAGTTCCAATGGCTTGACATTGACAAGCTCCTCTTTTTAGTTACCGGTACACACTGATCCACCCATTCACCTTGAACACGTTGTCCCCCACAATCTCCAGTGACAGCACCGGCTCCCGCAGTCTCGGGTGCGGGTAGTACCGCCAGCCGCACTCGGGGTAGCGGCAGCAGCGCCAGTACCCCATGGGCTCGTACGACGCAGGCGGTGGGCCGCCGTACTGCTGCTGGTAATGCAGCTGCTGTTGCTGGTACTGCGCTTGCACGAAGGCGGATGGCCGGATCCACAGGAGCTCGGCGTTGCATGGCTGGTAGACGCCGGGGCATCTGCGTACCGGTAGCGCAGGTCACACACACAGGATTATGTACTGTTATTTGTACCCGCTTTATGGGTAAGGCATCAGGTGCCTAAAGATTCGTCTCCTAGGAGCATGAGTTGCAGGGCAGTTCAGACCTCTGGTGCCCACCGGTATACTTGAGAGTAAGGAACTCCCCAGAAAGAGGGGAGCTACAGCAGTAACGGACTAAGTCAAATATCCAATCGCCCTTACCTGTCAAACGGACACCTTCCACGATACTCGGTTTCCGGCCGCATGCCCGTCGTCGTGATTGCACCACCGGCCCCGCCGGCGCCGCCTCCCCCAGCGCCTCCAAATGCGGCGCCTCCGAAACCAACTGAAGGAGCGGTTGATGGTGGGGCCTTCGCTCCCTTTAATGTTAGCTGCTGCTGCTGGTATTGCTGGTGCCGCTGCGGCTGTTGTTGTTGATGAGGATGGTGATTCGTAGAGCTAACGGTTGAGGAAAGGTGGTGAGGCTGTTGCATCTGCCGATGTCCCTGTTGTTGTTGTTGCTGCTGCTGTTGTGGCGGTTGCGGCTGTCCGTACGGCGGGTGTTGTTGGCCCGGTTGTACGGCATTGGCGGCGTTGGATCCAGCCCCTTGCTGGCCCCTAGGCGGACCCTGAGGCGGCTGGTGTTTCTGCATGGTACCGTACGACAGTTGCCGCTGTTCAGGTTGTTGGTGCTGTTGCGGCTGTAGGTACTGCGGTTGCGGCGGTGGGTAGCCTGCAGGCTGGGGGCCAAGCTGGGGCCCCATGTGCGGCTGATGTGCTGGTTGCTGCTGATTCCCCGGCAGCGGGTGTCGTACCTGCTGCTGCTGTTGTTGTTGCTGTGCCGGCGGCTGTTGGTATACGGGATGAGCACCGGGGTTGTGATGGTGTTGGTTGTACATCGCCGAAGGTGCCCCCTGCTGTGGCTGTGGCTGTACCGCGGCCGGATGCCCTTGCTGCTGTCCCTGCTGCGGCAGCAAGCTGGGTTGTTGCCAGGGAGCTAACGACCCTCCTCCGCCGCCTCCCGCTTGCGCTGCTGCTGCTCCCAGTGCTGCTGCTCCTGGAGCTCCTGCCGCTGATGAGGTGAATGGCGTTGGCGGTTGCGGTCCCTGCATGCTGCCGGCTACAGCTGCCGGCGCTGTCGTCGTCGGCGGCGGCCATGCAGGCCGTGGTAACCGAGGGTTGTGTGCTACGCTGGTACCCCTAACAACCCCGTTCGAGGCATACCCCAGATGAGATTGTTGTGGTTGTTGAGCAAGCGGCCCTTGAGGTGTGGGATATGACGGTGCAACCGGTGGTGCAGCTGGAGGAGGAAAGGCAACAGCTGTCGGAGGTGGGGGCTGTGGACGGTGTTGCTGGAGAGGTGGCTGTTGCTGCTGCGGGGGCCAAGCTTGAGGGCCGCTTGGCGCATGGGCCTGCGCCTGGTTCAGTTGGTCCGCGCCCTGGTAGTGGTTGCCGTACTGGTAATTTGGCTGTTGCTGCTGCTGAGGCACGTGCTGCTGCTGCTGCTGCTGCTGCGGTGGCGGCACCGCTCCCTGCGGCGGTAGCTCTGGCCGCCGCTGCTGCTGCTGTAACGGAGGCTGTGACGGTACCAACGGGATAGGGCCCTTGGACAGCTGACCCGCCTGCCCCGTTCCTACGCCGTCCCGAGGACTGCCACCGCTGCCACCGAAGCCCAGGTTCCGTACGGCACAACCTGGCCTCAGCGCCGCCGCCGCCGCTGCCGGGGAGCCAATGCCGCCGCGCTTCAATTTGCCCGCCGACGGCGGGGAGCCTGTAAATCGAAGGAACGGGTTGGCGGATGGGATAATCTCGTCATCGTCGCCAGCAGCATCGGCGGCGCCGGCGGTTCCGCTTTTCTTGGCAGCGCGGCGGCCGCCGCCAGGGGTGCAATGGCCGCCGTGCCTGCCCGGAGTGCCGTAGCCCTTGTCCCCATCGCCGCCGCCGTCGCCGCTGCTGCCGCTTCCGCCAGTGCCGCTTCCGCCATGGGCGGAAGCGCCCCGGCCTCCACCGCCGACGACGCTGCTGGAGCCAGCGCTGTGAGAAGTCGACCCAACACCAGCACCGCCTGCCGTACCGCCACCACCACCGCCGCCGTGAACCCCACCACCACCGCCACCGCGACTTTCCCCATCATGCGGCTCGGGCTTTTCTCGTCCATGACAGGAATAGTGCACGCCGTCACCACCCGCAACAGCCATGTTGTGTTCGCCGCCAGCGCCGTTGTTCCTGCCGTCGACAGTACGGCCTTGCCCGTCAGCGGCGGCTCCACTGCCGCTGCCGCCGCCGCTTGCACCAGTGGCATTAGGACCCATGCAAGGTCCTTTCCTAAAGGGCTGCTGCTGTTGCGCCTCCTGCGCAGACTCAGGCCGCTCAGGCCGTAGCCTCAGTGCGTTAGTACCTTCGGGCATGACAGCACCCTGAGGCGCGTTTCCTAGTTGCTGCAGCTGCTGCTCCTGCTGCTGCTGCTGCGGATACCGTGGATAGGAGCCCTGCTGAGGTGGCACGTGTTGACGTTGGTGCGGTTGCGGCAGCGGCCCGTTTTGCAGAGGGGCCGCGCTCTGCAGTTGGACTGACGAGGGGTGTTGATGTTGTCCAAGGCACCATTGCGGGTGAGGTTGTTGATGGCTGTGCGTTAGTTCCGGGCGTTGTTGGGGCTGTTGATGGTGCTGCTGTCGAAAGCTGGCAGGGAAAGGCTGTTGCTGCACTTGCTGCTGCTGTGGATAGGCTTGCGGCGGTGGCGGCGGTTGCAGGGGTTGCTGGTGGTGCAGAGGCTGTTGCTGGGTTCGCTGCTGCTCGGATCGTTGCTGCTCTGGTCGATGTGGTGGTACCGCGCACGTAGCTGAAGTCGCCGGCGCATGAGCTGCAGGCGCGTGAGGGGGCTGCTGCTGCTGCTGCTGACCCTGCGAGCCGTTCTGCATCCGCTGTAACGGGTGACTTGGGGGTTGCTGACAGCTATGCTGCTGTTGTTGCTGTGGCTGTAAGGGTTGTGGCTGCTGCTGCCGCTGTACAAGTTGTGATTGCTGCTGCTGCTGCGCCATGGGTGGATTCTGTGGTGGCAGCAGCCCGGGCTGTTGCGGAGGGTGTTGTTGCTTGTGCTGTGGAGCTGGCCCACCACGATCCTGAAGTTGCTGCTCCAGGTGGGGTGGTGCTTGGGGCTGGGGTACCGGCCCAACCGGTGGTGGCGGCTGCCCAGGCTGCTTCTGCAGATACTGTTGCTGCTGCGCCGCTGGTTGCTGACGGGTGGTGGTGCTCAGCGGTTGCCCAGACGACGGCGGTTGGTGTTGCCTAAACTGAGAGGGGTTTTCCCGCCCCGGTACGCACGGGTTTTGCTGGCCTGCGTGCGAATGCGGCGGATTTGCCGCCTGCAAAGGCGCATGGCTCCCAGGCTGCAATTGGTGCTGCCCGTGCTGCCACTGTCGCCCGGGCTCCGACTGTAGCGGCTGCGGCGGTGGAGCTGGTCGCTGTCCCTGCTCAGCCAACTGACCCGTGGGCCACTGCGGTTGTTGGGGCTCGCGGTGCTGGAGTGAGTTGGGTTGGGGAGGTTGTGGAGGCTGCCCGTGGTTCGTGCCGCTTGTCCGCAAGTGCTCAGGCGCTATTGACTGCTGTTGGTGATGCTGCTGCTGGGCGTGGTGCCCCCTTTGGAGGTTATGACTAGAGCCGTCCCGTTTCTGCTGCTGTTGGGAAGCCTGCGTCGGCACAGAGCTAGAGTTCTGATGGAGCTGCGGAGGCAGCTGCGGCAGGTGCTGCGGCTGGTGTTGCGCAACCGGGAACGGCTGTGGTGGCTGCGGTTGCAGCTGCTGCTGAGGGTATCCGGGATAACGCTCTTGGCCCTGCTGGCGTGTCTGGGCGGGATACTGAGGCAGCTGCTTTTGCAAGGGTTGCAGGTTTTGCCGCTGATGCGGCTGTGACTGCTGCGCCTGCACCTTCGGTTGATGCTGGGGCAGCTGGTTTTGCTGGTTTTGCTGGTTTTGCTGCTGATGCGGCTGCTGTGCTTGTACCTGCGGTTGATGCAGATGCAGCTGGCGTTGCAGTTTCTCCGCCTGCACCAAAGCTTGCTGCTGCGGTTGTTGCGGCCCATGTCGCATGCCCTCCTGCGCTGCATGTATCGAGGCTCGATGGGCCTCGCCTTGTTGCGCCTCTGCTATTGCAGAAGTGGCTAGGCTTGCAGCTCCAGAGCCGCAGGCGGAGGAACCAGAACGTGGTGGACATGAGGCTGGCTGCTGTGGGAGAGGGCCAGGCTGCTGGGCATGCGGTTGCGTCTGCCGCTGCTGCTGTTGGGCAGAATACGGTTGCGGCTGCTGCTGTTGGATAGGCGGGTAAGATCGCCCCTGCGCCTGTGTCGGCACACTCGCATTCCTGCACGATGTCTGCTGGTGGAGACTAGGCCGGGGCAGCACCTGCGATTGGGGCTGGGTTTCGGGACGACAGGAGCCAAATTGCGGCTGGCAAGAGGGGTAAGCAAGAGGTGCATCCGAGGGCAGCGGGCGATAATGGTACTCGTTGATCTGCTGCTGTGCCTGCTGTATCTGCCGCGGCTCCTGGTCCTGGTGTGGGTGTTGGGACTGAATAGGAGGTGCTGGTTGTTGCTGGGGGTTCACTGACATGACACATCCTAGCGGCTGGTTGTGAGGATGCGCCGGCGGATGAACTTCAGAACCGCTCCAAGGTGGTGCCAGGGATAGCTTGGACGACGGCCCGGATTCTCCTGGAGCAACGACGCCGGCAACTCCATAACGTTGACCACCACTAGACGTTGTCGGAAGCCCTGGCCAGGGTCCTTTAGAAGGCACGAAATTGGCCGACGTTGATGATGGGGGATGCTGCCATTGCCGAGAAGCTTGATCTGTAGCTATATCATCCACTGGCAGATTTGCTTTACAGCATAGGTTCTCATGTTGCGCGAAACCGATATGCCCATGGCTGTTTTGTTCCATCGTTAAGCCACATCTAACCGACCTTTAACCTTGCATATGCTTTGCAACCGTAAAATCACAAGAGTTACCAAGTAGTGTGGGTGTATGAGGCAGTTGCTACGTCCGCCAAACGCAGGAACATGCGGAACTCAGCGTTCGCGCCAAACGGAAACATGCTGAAAGCAGTAGGGTTCACTTTAGGCAAACCGGTTGCCCATAGAATTGTGAGGTTTCGCCTTTGTGCGACCCTCGTACTTTAAAATATGACTTCTGAGCATGTACCGTGCAACTCTGGATTCACGGCAACTGTACACACTTGCGAGCTGTTACATGTATGCTCACAGTGGCTAGCTGTTTGGTATACTCTATTCAAACCTTAACTGTTAGTCCATCGCTCCGGTCATGTCGGAGCCCTAGACGTCAGTAACCAACGCAAGTAACAAAGGCCTGCCGATGACGTATGGGGCACTTAGTCCTGCGGCGTCACGCCTGAAAATACTTTTGGAGAATCTACCGCTGCCGGACGAGTGTGTGCAGGAGGCGGTACGTTCCGTGGGTCTTGCTCGGCAGATGGCAAGCGAGCAGTTAACACTCTTGCACTTGACGATCATCAGGAAACGCTCATAAAGCAATGCAGCGAAGCAGAGCTTTCTAACCTAGGGCTAGGGCCTCCTCCGCGCCCCGTCGTACCCCGCGGCCTCCATGATGCTACCAGCGGAAAGCCCATCAGTCCGCAGCAGCGCTTGCATGCCGTCCAGGTGAGGTTGGCGCTGGGCGCTGCGTTGATAGCGTTATAGTTATTATGTCCGGACTATGGCAAGGGAGCTTCCGACGGGATGCTGGCTGGGCTCCCCTGCCTTTTTGACGGTTTCCAGAACACGGTGCCCAGCGTCCCCCCGGCGTTCCCCCTTTCAGTCTATCCCGACCTTTCCACTCAAACTTACCTTGCTTGCGACGCTCCCGCTGCCACGTCACATTGCTGCGTACGACAGCACGTGATAAATTCGCTGCAGTACAACCACACGCCCGGGTACTACTACAATGTCTCCAAGTCACGGCCCTTCTCACGTATCATGGACACAGCGCGGGAGGCGTTGCGAGCAGCCCTGCCAATCAAATGCCTGGAGGTAAGGGCTTTGCCTTTCCCCTTTCGTCTGCACTTTCGTCTGACCCTGTTTACAAAGGCACCTGTTCGTTTGTTCAGCCCACTCATTTCATGCTGCCAGGCGGTCTTCCTGGGCGCTCTGCTGACCGCTGGTTGGCACGAACTGGACCGCTTGCCACTGGCGTTCAAGAGCACGGTTCAAGGCCAGACGTACAGGTACATTGTACTGGATGCAGCAGGTTGCCCAGCGTACGGGGCTGTAAATAGATGCTGCCCCAGCCTTCTTATAACACTGCGTACGGCTAGCCCTTTCCTTGGTCTTCAACGAAGTCCGTCCTTTCCACAACAATGAGAACAACCCCTCATCCCTGTATGCCTCTTTTTCCACGCTTCCCCCCGCCTCGTGGCGCCTCAGGCACATCGTGTTGGTCGTATACCACGCGCCCAGCCGCAAATGGGGCGCTCTGGGGCTGTCTCGCCGACCCGAGCTGATGGACAAGGACCTTGTGTACGACAGCCTGGCAGGTGCGTGTGCAGAAAACTAACCTCATGTGTGTGTTTGGCTTCGGGATGTCGTACGACTCCTTGATACCGGGGCTTGGCTTGCATGTCTTGGATTTTAGGGTGTTGCACGGCAGCCTGACAGGTGTGTTTTTGACGTTGCGCGGGCAACTCAAGGGTGATGGGTGGTGCTGGTGGTATTCACTTAAGCCATGCTGCTTAATCCCAACCCAACGCAATGTACGGGTGCGTGTCCGTTCCGCCGTGTTCGGTGAAGCTACCTGCGACGCGGCTGCTCACCCTCCCTTCCGCCCCCAGACCTCGTATCCGAGTACAAGGCTTCGTACGAGCGCTGGTGGCATATGTTGGCACGGGTAAGGCTTCCATGACCTTACAATACCGCTTGGCGCAATTTTGACGTCAAGGCAGGACCATATCAGCCAGCAGACCTACTCTTCCATGGCTGACCGTACTTTGCCGTACAACCTCATGGTCCTCTGTACGACAGGTGTACGTCGGTCTGCCCCTGGAGCACGACACCTACTACTCGGGCCCTGTGTGCTGGCGCTACCTCACGCTGTCTCTCACGGGCCGCAAACCCTGGGCAGTGCACCGCGCCGCGCTGGACACATTTGCGGGTAGGAGGGAGTTAGGGCGGGAGGGCGCTCGCTTCAACAGGCCGGGAAACTACATTAAAGAGGGCGCTAAAACACTATTTTTAAAGCATTCCTTTCTGTCCCCACCAAACGCCCGCATGTCCACTCAAAACAGTGCAATCACGGCGCCTGGCTGCCAAGTTCCGCGCACTGGGCTGCCAGCCCTCCTCCAACACCAGTCTCAACGGCGGAGAGCCGCTGCCAGTAGGGCTGCAACAAGGGCTGCACCCGCAAACGCAAGCACAGCAGCAGGAACAGGGGCAAGGTCAGGGGCAGGGGCCGGCCTCTGGTGCGCAGGAGGGGTCGCTGGAGAGGGCTGGAGGCAGTGCCGGGAGTAGCGGAGGGTCGCCGTTGTGCAGTGCTGGCGCGGGTGCGGGTGCGGGTGCCGCTTCGAGGTGAGTTGCTGCTACCGTTCGTGGCAGGGCGCTCATGCATGGCCTTGTTTGTCTATCTGTCTAGCAGCACGGCGCTTATTGTTCATGCCTTAGGGTCACTGCAAATGCTTACAAATAACTGCGCGTGCATGCGCAAGAGCACATCTCTGTTCTCCTTGTCCTCACCGTCCTCCCTTGTGTCTTGCGACCTTACAATGCTTGTGCTTCCAGACACATGTATTGTTCCTGTTTCGGGCCAGCCCTTTGCGCTGTCCCATCCCACGGCTGTGAGAGGCTTTGCTACCGTACTCATGCCGCGCAGGTGTGCCAAGTCCGTCTCTCCCAGTCGCCGCCGCCCGCCGCCGCTGCCAGTGCCGCCCCTTCCGCGACGCGCCCTCACACCGCCACGCGGCGTGCTTTCCTCCGCTGCTGCCTCTGCCCTGCTCAGTCCCGTCTCCCCAGCACCCCATGCGTCGACGACGCTAGCGGGAACGTCAACACCACCGGGAGCACACGCAGTAGCAGTTGCAGCAACCGTAGCGTGTACGGCAGGTACGACACCAGGAGCCGCAGCGGCGGCGGCAGCCCCGCCCATGCTGGGCGGTATCCAGGGCCTCAGCCCCATGCGCTGCCGGAGCGCTGTGCCCACACGACCCACACTCAACATCAAGGGCAGGGGAAGTACAGGCATGGATGGTGCCGCCGCAGGCTGCACCGCCGGGCCTACAACACCCACTGCAGCAGGAACGGCAGGCTTGCCGGTATCAGCGACGGAGGGCGGGGGCGGCGGCCCGGCGGGTGTGGCTAGCTGCTCGCCACATGGCTCATTCAGGAGTAGTAATGGCCACAGCGGTTTCGTGTCTCCCTACCTTGCAATGCTTCCCAAGGCCGCCGTGACCCATGCGCTGTCCGCCTCAGCGGGTACCTCCTCCGCATCCCAGCATGGGAGCGCAATGCCTTTATCTGCAGTCGGGGCTGCATCAGGCAAGGAGCAAGCAGCCAATCGAGGGCATCCGAGCACATCCGAGGGCTCTTTGTCGGGTCGCGGCACGGTTATGCGCTCACGCCATCGAGCTGAGCAGCAGCCACCGAACACGGAGACTTCCTCGCAAGCGCCTGCGCCATTTCCGCATTCCCTGCAAGCTCAGTCGCAGACGCCAACACAACCCAACGCGCAGCTGCATGTGCAGTCCCAAGCAGAATTGCAGCCACAGCAGTTAGATGGTCGGCGGTCACGGCAGGTCAGTCGGTCAAGCACGCGGCGTCGCTGTTCAGAACCAGGGGGTGCGGCTGCGTTGGCGGCAGCAGCAGCGGCAGCCACGGCGGAGCACCGAGGCCATGTTAACATTGCAATGAGGGTGCAGGCGCGCATGCTGAGGCAGCAGGTCCGGGCTGAGGAGCGGAGGGGCGGGAAGGGGGATGCAGCGGGAGGGGATGGAGGCGGGGTTGGAGACGAAAGGCCGGGCAGGAAGGTGGGAGAGGCGGCGGCGGTAGATCGAGGTGAGGAAGAGGAGGAGGAAGATACGGAGAGCGCGGAGGAGGATTACTTGAGTGGGGGAAGCGAAGATGGGGGCGATGTTAACGGTGGTGGCGGTACTTGAGGCATGAAGCACCTGTGGGGTTGCGGGATGCCCTGTTGTCCCTTCGGTGCGTGCTGCTTTGTGCGTACCCATGTTCCCCTCCCACTTGCACGAGCTGTACTTCCTGGAGAGAAGGCAGCAGCACTTCATTCAATGGCGTGTGACTAACGCCGTACGCCAGCTCTTTCTTCAATCAAAATGCAGCCCATCTAACTAGAGGAATATTGGTATTATGTGTATGTATATGGACATATAATTTATCATGGCATGGGTAATGCTATTTATGGAACGACGTAATGGGGCCCTGGCAGGTCCAACACAAGCGTAACATAGTTTCTAGCTCGAATTACAGTTCAATGAACCCACAAAGTCTTAGAACTGTGCTTACCCTAATTAACGGCGTGCTCTTGGCTTGTTCAACATGCCTGGCTGCACGCGGACAGTCTGTGCAGCATAGAAGCGACGTTGAGCTGATCCAGAGATGCTTCAATGCTGCGTATAACTCAACTCCCACATCCTTTGGAGCTTTCATGGCCAACAAACCTGTGAGGTAAGTACGTTTCGGTTGGTTATGCCCTTTGGTCCAAAGATCGCAATCGGACAGCATGGTTATATGCAGTCTCAGCATATCTGAAGTATGGATGTCAAGGCGGCAGGCGGAGGTCCCTCTGACCATTTTTACGACAGCTACAATGGACCGCTTGCAGCATTTGGAAGCTCTCGTAAGTGACCGGCATTATCCAGCCAAGCGATATCTCAGCACAGCTGCGACACGAGGCAACATGTCGTATGCAGTGCAGGATGCTGCCCAAAGGCACTGTTTCAGCGGCGGTATACCTCCCGCTTGTGCAGCGGCAAGGGGGCAACCTGTCTCACCGAAACACGGGTCTGCAAAGCCTTGTGACGGACATAATACAGGTGGGGTGTTTTTATAGGGGTCCGGTCTAAAGGTGGGCTAAACGCTGGGCCTGATGGAGCAAAGAGCATGACACGTGTGGATAACAGCCCCGTTCTTTCCTATGCAGCGCATGTTCCAACAACTAGAAGCTAGTCCTGATGCGTGCTCTTTGCGAGTACTCCTGCTGACGGAAGTAACAAATGATCCGGCGATTGCAGCTCTGGTGCCTATCAACGCCCTGCGCAATGCCGCGCTGCTTGCCGTGCGCTCGTCCCTGGTCGCCATGGTCGATGTGGATCTCGGCATCAGCGCCTCCCTCATAGCTGTTCTCCAAAATTCAAGCAGGTTTGCACACACTGCCCAGTGCCCAGTAGGCTCACTGTGAAGCATTGCTGCCTCTTCAGCCCTGGCATGCATATGGCATGCAACCTTGTCGTGTACTGCATCTGCTACTCCACGGTCTCTGATGCGTGCCGTACAAACAGTATACACCACCTGCAACTGACGGCTTTACCGTACCTCTCAACCCACCGTACCTGCAACGCAGGGTCGCAGCAATGCTGAAGGAAGCCTCAGTGATGTGGGTCATGCCGGCTTGGGAGGCTGACCCACATCTTACCCGGGCGGATGCCGAGAACACCGTGCACTCCGTACTGATGGGTAAATGCCGTATTCCCGTATCTATTAACCGTGCACATCTCATTCTATGCTTGACGAGATCGAAATATTTGTGCGCATGCCTCTCGACGTGTTTGACCATGCCTGCAGCCGATAGCACAGGCGTGGCAAAGAAAAGCATGCATGGTGCAAATACCGCGTCCTGCGGGACTGCCGTCATCGTGCGTGGCGACGTGCTACAGAATCTTAACCGGCAAACTTCACCTTGCATGCAGGCGACAAAAACCGCATCGCGCTGCTTTGGTCCGCCCGCCACATCCGTACCTTCTCTGAGGACATATTTCCGCAGGGTCACAACGTCACAAACTACCGACGGTAAGAAGCGACTGGAGACTCCCAGCTAAAGCCACTCAGCTCAACACCGCAGCCCAGTGTGTTCTAGCCCTAGCCATTTGATACCAGCGTGAAACTCATGTGGCCCCGCAAGCTCTAGCCGCCGCTGGAAGCTGTCTACAGTGTGAGTCCTCCTTACTGCCATGCCGCCTACTTGCTGTCTGTGCCTGGCTACGTAGGTGGCTGACGGCATCTGAGCCATACACGGTGGATTACGCACGAGGTTATGAGCCTTGGGGCCTTACAACAAGGTCAGGAATGTGTGTCTGTTTTCCCTTTTGAGTCGGCATGCGCGTGTGTAAGTGATCTACTGTAAATTCTTGCCTGCATGAGAAGGCATGTTCCTCTTAATGCAGAGGTATATCCAGGATGAAGGCCATGAGTCCATCAACCACGATCCCGCCTGGGAGTGGCTCCCTCCCGCACAAACCTTGCAAACGTGTGCGCTTCCAGTTACGGGTATACGACCGGTACACGACGCTAAAAGCCCCAGTGTTTACCTCTTCCTCGTCAGGGAGCGGCATGTACTGCGGCCGTACGACGTCCGGTTTCGGGGCTGCTTCCGTGACAAGGTGACGCATGTGGCGTCCCTGTCGTACAGCGGTACGACATTCAAGGTGCTACCGGACGCGTGGTTGGTACACCAGCCGCATGATCTGTCTGTGGCGGCCTCCATAGCTGTCGGCCGGAACAGCAAAGCCCATCCCAAAGTCAAGGCTTTACAACAGGTGAATCCGTGCACCGTATCGTCCCCTCCGTCTTCCCTTTATCTATGAAACCCCATGAGTGGTTTGCGATAATGCTCAACAGTTCTTGTGCACGCATCCCGTAGGTCCTTGCTTTGTTCTTAGGCAGGGTATGGAATCTTCTGTCGACGTCGCATCTTTCATGATTGCGGCGGCAGCGAGGTTGGTGTACGTCTTTTGACTACGTCGGCTCCGTGTTTTCTTACCACGCAGGCAGTGTACTATCGAGGTGTCAACACGACCAAGTTTACGTTGCACAAGGCTCACTCCATGATCACCAGCGACTCAGCTCTGAGCGCCATGGCCTCTGGCACCTACGTGCCCGTTGTTGGAGAGCAGTTTGAGAACTGCCGTAAGAGCCTGCCGTGGCTTTAACTCTCGGTTTAAGAAGGTTACACTAGAGCAGACCAGCAGACAGAAACGGCTGGCTGTTGTAAACATGGCAAGAGCATGTGCGTGCGGCCATGTGTATGAACTTAGGGCGGCTTTGGCGACAAGGGCTGCAATAGTGCCATCGATGACGTGTTTGACTCGAGGAGCGAGGAGGTCAGTGCAGCTAAGGGGGCAAGACCTGCCAGGACGATTACATCAAGAAAGGTGGGAAGGGCATGGCTTGTTGGAGTGGGGCCACACTCATTGCATCTTTGTACCGTTGTCGAGTTCCGTGGTCCGTCACATTCATCTCGCCCTACTATTGCCCATCCGGTCATCTCCTGATGTCTTCACTTCCCACCATTACCTGCCCGCCTACTCTTCTGGCTGGAGCCATGCCCCAGGGTTCTGCACGCCAGGAGAATGTTCCTTGGAAGCCGTTCCGGGTCGGCGAGAGTCCGTGGCGACCCGTGGGTCATGCCTTCCGTTGTCGTACATCCTGCTACGGACAAGGGTCGCTATACGCCAACTTCGTAACCCAGGACGTATGAACATGTAATAATAAAAAAACCTGCTATCTGCTTGGCCTTACCGTACGCAACATTGTGCTGCACCATGTAAAACCGAGCAGCTGACGTCGAAGGCGCAACGGGCCCACCCGGTGTTTCCTTCCGTCCCCATAGCACAGCCGAAGTTCGCTTATTCAAACCTCGAAAGTGCCTCCTTGTGACCGAGCCGCCCCTCTGGATCAAAGCGGAACGGCAGCAGCTCACTCCAGCCGCTTCCATCACCACCCGCTCCTTCGACCTTCGACCCGCCATCACCAGCTCCTGCTGTTGCAGTGGTGGCAGTGTTGCCTGTTGAGGCGGTGCTGGCCGGGCTCCCTGATGCCTTCCGTACGGCATCAGGTGCCGTTACCGCCGTGGTCGGTGAGGGTTGCGCTGGTGGCGGCGGTGATGAGGATGAGGGCCCTGCTGCAACCATTCGGGCTATGAGCTGCCCAATGCCGGAGCTCATCTTGAATCCGTGACCGGAGCAGGCAGAGCACAGGATCACCTGATGCGAGGAAGGGGAAGGGGGTGCATGTGATGGAATTTAGGTCTCCATACGTGGCTACAAATTGTTTGAAAGCACAAGTGCTGTGGTCGGGTTGGTGCGGGTTTGGCTCTCGGGTAAACGTCTTGAAAGTCAGGAGTTACTGGTCAACGCACCCTTGTACGGGACCACACCTGCGGATGTAAGGGGTGGCGGTCCACTAGGAAGTGGCCGTCCGGCGTGTTGGTGAAGAAGCAGGCGCTGGATGACAACAGGCGCCCGCGGGCTGCCGCTGGGAAGTACGAAGCAACGCCGGCTCGCAGTGCAGCCTCATCAGCAGCATCTGCCGTGCGCTGTACGGCATCTAGAGCAGCCGGATCCCGGATGTCTTGTCGTAGATGGTGATACAGGCCGATCTTGAAGCCTGTACACGGAACACGGTTGTTTTTGCAAGTCATTGGGGCAGTTTTCCGCCGTGCAAGATTGGGTGACAGTAAAGCAAGGGTTTACTAGCACTGTAATAGCGATTGACACGGTTGTGTACACCATGTGACAGCACAGTACGAAACGGCATAAGCATAATTGCATGTGCAGGTCGTACCTGGAAGTTCGCCGTGCTCCGGGAAGCCGTAGTAGGCGGTACCGCCGGGGCTCTCCTCCAACACGAACACCGGGAAGCGTTCGGGCGTAAAGTCGCGTCGGGCGGAGGCTGTACAAAGCGAGTAAGGAGCAAGGGGGGCTGTTTAACATGGACGGCGAAGCGCCTTACACAGCCGCTGCGAATGAAATGAACCGGTGGGAAACGGCTGCCTGGGAGCGAAATACCTTCATGGACTGTTTCACATGCATGGCAGTGTTTCACGTGCCGCCCTTGCAGCCTTGCCTTCCCGTGCAGTAACCTAGTTCGTGCCCAGCTCCAGCACGCATGCGAGGACGCCTCACAGCAAGGTTCGTGTTTCACAGCATTCGTTATTAGCCGAACCCACCTTCAATGTCAAACCACCCGACCACCTGGCGTTCCGGTACGCATAAGTCCTGGTGATTGAGTTTGATAAGTAATGTGTGTTAGCCTGTTTCCTATACTGAAAATGGACATGCTTCCAGCAGCCCCATGCTCACCCGCAACTCCGGGACTAATTGCCCAATCCACGGACCCGGCGCCATCACCACAGCCCCTGCCGTTATAGTGCGACCACCACCGCCACTGCCGGCCTCTCCAGCAACCTGCAACAGCGACATATTACCAGGCTTGCCAGCGCTTGGCGTCGGCAACGATGCGCAGCTACCGCCGATGACAGAGGCCGATGATTGCAAACCCACCACGTCCGAGGTGGGCACCGTTGTCAGCGTAACCGGTGAGTCGTTGGAATCTCCTTCCGTGTGCCATGATGTCACCGTTTCACCAACCACCACCTCCGCTCCCAGCCGCTGCGCCAGGGTCACGTGGGCCTAAGGCACGGGCGGGCAACAACGCAAGCAGGCGGCCATTCACGTATTAATTGCCAATTCATGCAGCAAAGCCAAGCCATGGTTTATTTGTTTGGGAATGCGCAGTGAAACAGTGCAGGCACTGGCTTCGTAAAGGGTGATACACACACTGGCAGAATTGTATTAATGCGGCCTACCTGTACAATCCTCTCAGGCGCAAGTACCCCGCCATCTGGCTGGTAGAGAGCCCGCCAGTGCTCCGGAACCCGGTAGGCTGTCGTACAACAGGGGAGGGATATGATGGGTCGCTGACCAAATAAGCGGGCGAAGGGCCTCTGAAATGCATGTCAGCAAGCTGCTTGCGCACTTAGTATTTGCGATCAGGCAACGGTTAGGAGTACGGCACCTGTACAGCGTACAGCCTTCAAGGCCATGATGTCGTACGGCATGCATGCACAGACAGAGGCACGATAATTGGCATCAGTTTTACCTTTCTCCGCACAGCGCACCTGGGAAACGCCTAGTCAGCTCCGGCCCAGTCAAGATCTCGTGCTAAGGGGTTCGCGGTATTGACATACATGAAAGGCGGAATGGACATGACATACATGCACGGCATGCATGTTGGGTGCAGGTGTCACGTATCGTTGTACGTTGGTGTTACGGTAACTACCGACTGAGAGCCGGCATTGCTATATATGGTGCCTTTTGCTCGTTCCTGCTATGTACCCTGGCAAGTGCAATCAAGGCCAACAATAACAAACAACTCACCACTGCCTGTCGTTTCCGCTGCCCAGTATACATATGTAATACCACCCCGTACCGGAATGGTAGCTAGCCTTAAGCTCTAACATGCATGCACGCGTATGCTTCAAAGCACTGATCCCGGCCAATGTGTCTGCCCTGCCCATTCCGTCCGACCTGCAGCCCATGAGCCCTTGCTGACTCCAGTGCCCTCTCAAACACCGATCCCACATCTAGCATGCCTGTTCGCTGGAAGAGCGGAGCCGGGGACGCAGTCGGCGCCTGCAATTGCGAACACAAGCACCCAAGCATTTCTCCTCGGTCGACAATGTTGCTCGGTGCAGTTGAATTAACACGCTCAGCAATTGTTAACATACACAGGGAAGGAAAGGATAGTGGATGGACAGGCGCACCCAGCAACCGCCAAGCTTTCAGGTTAATGCGTCACAAAGTCAACAAACTCAACGCAATCTGAGCTGGTGAGCAGCCAGTCAATGTTATATACAGTGCCTGTACCGTGGTCAATAAACTCACCGACCTGTTTGCCGTGGGCAAGCGGTTGTTCCATAAGCTCGTCTTGCAACTCCAGGAACAAACGAAGGCTGCGTTTCTGCCATTCATCAGATACGCATGGCATGAGGCACAAATGTACGCAGGATCATCCGGGAGCATTTAACGAGATAGATAACGAACTATCATGCATAGATCTCCTAGAGGGGAGCCCAGGTGACAGCCTTACAAAGAGGCTGGGTGTAGCTGCCCCTAGCCGTCTAAACCCCCCACCTAGCCCTGGTCCTCATTGCCTCGTCTATTTAGGATTGCACAGAATCACCCACCAGAAGAGGCCCGTACTGCAGCCCCTCAAAGTAGGCGAGGCGAATGATGCGAGAGGCGCCATGTGAGGACCCCAATGCATGTCCCACGGGTCGATGTCGCTCTATGCCGATGACCTGCGCGTGTGCCGCGGTTGTAGATGCGTGCAGGGCTGGCTGTCAGCGTTTGTTCAGACCCATCCATACAAGTACCGTAATACCCATAACATCCACACACGCGTGTTCTCCCCAACACCAGTGAGGGCTGACAGCGCTGCCCCATTCACCATGCATGATGACTAAAGAGCTTACCCCAGCTGACCCCCCTTCCCGTCATCCTTCCGCGTCACCGAATCGGACCTAACCATGTAGTGTAAGGGCACACCGGCGGACGTGCGCTGGCGATAACTGACGACGCAAGATTTGCGGACGGATGTACGTGTCAGTCGCCCGTCTTACCTTCAGGCCTGACCGGGCTATGTGGTACAGTGCCGAGCTGCCGAAAGCACCTAGTCCTATCACGGCCACATCATAGCTAGAGGGCAAGGGGAACAGGATGGGCATAGGGGCTGCAGTGATGGGCGTGCCTTTTCCAGAAGACGGCGCTCAGTTTGCGGTACACTGGGTACCATTATCAGCAGATACCATCACCAGACCTACATCTAACAGGGCATCGACCGCCCTACCCTAGGGGGCACGCCGTGCATGAGGCAGGGAGCCGTGCCCAACAGAGACAGGGACAAGCGCCTAGGTCCCAGGGACGCAACTCAGACATGCTGCCAAACCAGCTCCCTGTTCGATATGCAGGCACTGCCATCCCAGCATCTGGAACAGAGGCCGGCAACCAGGGTCCCCGTGAAATGCGACATGCCAATCCATATACGGCGCTTAGACGTACATGGATTGCAGTGCACCTAATTCAAATTTACGTATTGGGCCTATTCAGTCTAGACGCACATCCTTACTTATGTATGCGCGCTTGGAGGCCAGCGGGTACACCCACAGCAGCGGTTGCAATTGGCAAGTAGGAAAAGCTAGCTTGCAGAGCATTTGTCCTTGTTGGATTGAGAATGATTGGAAGTAAAGCTGCAGCTACGCCTGTTCTGTTGGTAATTGCCATACGGTTTGCTAGTCTTCAAGGGCGATACGGTATGCAACTAGGAATGGGTTGCCTCGCAATCTTTAGGATATTGTTTGGAAAACCGAAAACGCATAAAATGGAGTATGTGTGCTTTGCGCGAACTAGATTACTGTGAAAGACATTTCGTCATTACAATGCGCTGTACGATTGGTAGCACCTTCCTACTGTAAAGTAATTGTAACTATATATTTGTTACTATGTCTATCTGTCCCCTCCCGCTCGATGGATGCATGGGGTCTGGTCAGTAGGGGGGTTACGTGCGTGCGTGAGGGACGTATACATGTGGGTATGATGCCGAGCAGGCGGCTTGTGCGGTCGTCATGGTGGCGCTTCGGCTGGTCGAGCATGGCAAAAGCAGCAGGCCGAAAGCTAGCGCGTCCAAGAGGTCCGGGCGAGTAATGGTTTGCAAGGTGCTACCCCCAAAACGGGGGAGGAGAGCAAAAGCGTATCGAGACCAGGTTTCGATCCTGGGACCTCGGGGTTATGAGCCCCGCACGCTTCCGCTGCGCCATCTCGATCTCGGGATGTCAAACTCTCAATCCGCATGCATATGGGGCGAAAACGGGCCTGGGATTGTACGGCAACCCCCTCTCCGCACGCCCATCCACGCTCGGGCAGTCCAGCTGGACCCCAGCGTGCCAGGCCTCCGCGCACGCTTTAAGGGGAGCTGGCAAGGGTGCTGGGCGCCAGGGACTGGTCCATGACAGCCTGCGCCTTGAGAAGACCCCGCTCGTAGTAACCCGCAACTGGGCGAGTGGCCGGGCGGACCCCTACCTGAGCCGCGCGTAAGGCCCGCAACTCTGAGAATCCCACCCGCGCCTGCAGCATGCCACAAGAGTCAGATAGAAGTGATCCCGACCCTCAATCAATTGCGGAAAAAGATGCTTACTTACGGGACAGGGGGGCTCGGAAACGGGAGGGCCCTTTAGCGGCGACGAGACGCCAATGATAGACGGTGACAAGCCCACCCAACCAGCAAGGGGGGAAACCCCCGGGCTTACGGCCGGGGCCGGCAGTGGGCCCAGCAATCCCAGTGGACACGCAGCAGCGCCTCGACCCAGCCGCCCAAGTAATGCGTCTTCCGACATGACGGCCCCAGGGTAGTTGAGCACTGCCCCGGGATACACCTGCGCAGCGCTGCAACGAGTAAGAAAGGCCCGCAGCACAGGCCGAACCTGAAACAGTATGCCAAAGGCCTACCGACCTCCGTAACAGGCTGCAAGCCCGGTCCCAGAACGGGAAAGTCCAGCCCCCACGAAGGCGCCGGGTCGGCGGACCCCTTGCCGGGAAACCCAAGGTCAACAGCCGTTCCCGGACGCAGAGGAATATTGTCCATTATGCCCTGAGTGCAGGCCCGAAAGAATTACTCGAGGTAGATTACATACATAGGGTGCTCGCTACCCCTTACCGCCACAGAAAAGTTCAGTGCTCCAGGTGGAGAAGCCGGAAGGCATCTTAACAAACTAACGAACTCGTCGTATGAGAGGCTCGCTACTCCGTTCGCGCTAGGGCTGGCGCGAACGAACGTGAGAGCCCCTCATACGGCGAAGAATTCCGTACGTTGGCTCGCCCCGATTAGGGGCGTAGTCTTAGCGTTCACTCAAAATAGTCCGGACCGAGGCGTTATGTCCTTTTTGTACCGTGAACATGTCCTATGGTGTATCCCTGTACAGTTTGTATGTACCTGCATCGAGGTCGCAGAATCGCTCGAACAAGGTGGCGTTGTATTCGTTGCTGTGTTTTGAGTATAACGGTATGTTGAAAAAGTGACGGGCTTCGAGTTGGCCTAGGGTTCAGAAGACGACCCAAGTGTCGTACTTGTCGGCGGAAACAAAGTGCTGTTGGCAGGTTTGTCCAGGTGATTCGTAATCTCCATAGCAATGTCATTGTAGCGTTGTAACGCTGGAAACAACGTTTAGCCCATAAGCCAAGGTTAAGTTGCCTCTTGATGTGCCTCCCTCAAGGCTGACTTGCCTCTTGCAAAAAACAAAACTGTTAAAGCGAATATGTTGGTTAGAATATAGAAAGCTTAGTTGTAGATCAATACAAGCTGCTTAGCAAAGGCTGCCGCTGCCGCGGCGGCCGCAGAGACACAAAGTGGGCATCGTCCCTCTACGTTACATTCGTTCGTTCATTTCGTTCGTTCAACGCGCACCGCTGAAAAGTGGATCGAAATACGTGCTCGTTTCACGTTTTCGAGGCGTCCCTCGCCCGACATGGACTTCGTCGCAATCCAAAACCGCAAGAAGAGCTTAGGCATGGTGTTAGGTCGCAGTTCCAAATCGACAATCCACACGTGTCGCTGGCTGCAAATACAGCCACGGCCATTGCTAACGAGCCAAGATATGCACGCACCGCAGCATCAGAAGGCGCAGCTGTGGCTGCTTACTGCACAGACATGCTCTCACAGCGGGAAGGGCCTTTGGTCAGAGCGGCTTGGGCGGACGAAAACATCGTACTCTGGGTAGCGGTTGCCTTTGAATGCAACCTGACCGTTTGGCATGCCGACGGCACCGGGTGTCGGGCCCTTTCCTACGCATATGGCGGCAACAGCGAAGAAATGCACTTAGCCTTTTATGCGGGTCATTACGAACCAGTTGTACGAAGCACCACAGCACATCCACTGCCTGACCCCACCCGCCAACATGCAAGCGTCCAACGCACCAAAACAACTCCTCAATTGCCAATCCAACCCAAGTCTAGCCCAACAGCATCGCTGAAGTTGTGCGACCAGGTGCTCTTAGCTGCAGAGAGGCTGTGCATGCCAGAGCAATCACACACGCGCATTAAATCCCATAAGCAGCTTGCAGATGCCCTTGTGACAGAGCTTGCACGTCATGGCCAAAGTGCTTTAAACAGCCAGGTATACAATATCATCACGAGGTCGTGCCCAAGGACCGAGCTGGCGCATCTACGCATATCACTGACATGTAATACGCATCCCAACTGTACAACCTCCCTCCACTACGCTCCGCTAGCTCCAACAAAGTCAGCACTGATACAGCCTGGGCACTACTTGACAGCGAGTTCGCTTTTTAAAATGGGGGCGAGCCCCGGTGTCTGCGAAGCTGACGGGTTATTAAGCCTACCATTCTGGTCGGCCGCTGGAATTGCGTCCCTTAACACGGCGGTAAGGGACCGCCGGCCTTCCGCCTTGCTTCCTCGGAAATTGATCGATTGCTGCCCGCAGGCCTATCTGGGTCTTCCGCCCAGCGGTTCTTTTGCGTTGCCGGCGCCTGTTCTCCCGGGCGCGCCGTTCGTGGGGAACCCTGGCTTGCTGAGTCCTTTCTCGGCTTCTCCTCTCTCCACCTATCAGGTGGGCGGGTTTGATGGATGGCCTCGTCTCTGCTCGGTTTCTGACTGCGTATTGCGCAGGTTCCTTTCGGCGCCATACCGAGTTCTTCGGTCACCCCGGCGTACGGTCTGATCGGGCAGCAGGGTTGGCCTGTTGCGTCGTCTTACCCGCCCGCACCGGCCGCTCCCGTCGCTCCCCTCTGGGGCTCAAGTTCTGCCCCCGGGCCTGTGAGCGTGCCCACCTTGCCCGTGCCTAGCCAGGTAGGCTTCTTGGCCCTTGTCTGTTCAGTCGCTCGATCTGACCCGAGGAGGGGAGCTAAAGCCTGGCGAGAAACCGCGCTTGCAAGGAGCGGGATGGTCCGAAAGGGATGTCCGAACCACGGGTCACTCGTCCAAGCCATGCCCATCACGGTTCAGTTAGTTGCCCCAAGTGAGCTGCACACCGAAGGCAGCACATACTCAGCGCACGGGGGTTGCATGGTATTCGTGCTTTATGTATGTGTCGTGTTGCTCGCTCCTTTGCCTGTGACTGCAGTCGTCCGCCATACAAGCCCACCCAAGCAACACAAGCAGGCAGCTGGCGCCTTCTGCGCCACCCTGGGTTCATTTTGCGACGCACTTAACACACCTCGTACGATGACGCTCACAGGGGCCACCCGCCCGGGTTAGGCTTGAGACGGAAGGAGCACCAGAGCATCTACCAGAGCAAGGCGTCTTTATCTAGATAAAGACGCCTTGTCGTGTGCAAGTCGTGTTCCTAGGACCAACCGTCTAACTGTCTTGTCGAAATTGGAAGGAGATACGCAAAACTCACAATCCGCATGCATATGGGGCGAAAACGGGCCTGGGATTGTACGGCAACCCCCTCTCCGCACGCCCATCCACGCTCGGGCAGTTCAGCTGGACCCCAGCGTGCCAGGCCTCCGCGCACGCTTTAAGGGGAGCTAAAGCCTGGCGAGAAACCGCGCTTGCAAGGAGCGGGATGGTCCGAAAGGGATGTCCGAACCACGGGTCACTCGTCCAAGCCATGCCCATCACGGTTCAGTTAGTTGCCCCAAGTGAGCTGCACACCGAAGGCAGCACATACTCAGCGCACGGGGGTTGCATGGGATTCATGCTTCATGTATGTGTCGTGTTGCTCGCTCCTTTGCCTGTGACTGCATGCAGTCGTCCGCCGTACAAGCCCACTCAAGCAGGCAGCTGGCGCCTCCTGCGCCACCCTGGGTTCATTTTGCGACGCACTTAACACACCTCGTACGATGACGCTCACAGGGGCCACCCGCCCGGGTTAGGCTTGAGACGGAAGGAGCACCAGAGCATCTACCAGAGCAAGGCGTCTTTATCTATCTAGATAAAGACGCCTTGCTATCGACGTCCGGGGATGCCCTGCTGACACTGGCGAGGGGAGCTTGTTTTGCAGTGCAGGATGAACGCATGAGCCATCGGCAAAGAGGTGATTGTAGCCCACCTTACCTGACGTCTCGTACATACAATGGCTGCCTGCAACCTATCTGCTACCGGCATGGAGACATGCACCTTGTGACCTGACCTGACGCTGCCAACGCCCGAAGAGCCTGCTGTTTATCCAGGTGCCCCAAACTCATCAACCTCTGTCCTCAACGCCTCCTGTGCATGATCTCTCTCTCTCTCTCTCCTCCCGCTCGATGGATGCATGGGGGCTGGTCAGTAGGGGGGTCACGTGCGTGCGTGAGGGACGTATATGTGTGGGTATGATGCCGAGCAGGCGGCTTGTGCGGTCGTCATGATGGCGCTTCGGCTGGCAAAAGCAGCAGGCCGAAAGCTAGCGCTTCCAAGAGGTCCGGGCGAGTAATGGTTTGCAAGGTGCTACCC